ACGCTCTACCATTAGACCACGGAGGCGGTCTAATAGGACAATGAAATAGCTATATCTGTACATACAGTGACGTTAGAGTAGTGGATAACGTTGTGTCAGGTGTGCAGTCTTAGCTCTACATATAAATGCTGTGTGACATTCGTTGAAAAAAGGTCGTGAAGAAATACCTGATGGGCGTTTAATGCAGAGTTGCGTCCATTTGGCGCGCCAGAAACCCATGACTGTGGATTCGCCATGTCATGTTTTTAGATTTGTCAGCACCATACCCGAGATCGCGAGTTTCTCCAAAGTGGTAGACATCTGAGACATGCATAACTTCGGGCTTTCCTCCCACATTAAGCTGAAACGCCGTGATATAACTGAAATACTGTTCAAAGCGGCGTAATCAAAACTCGCTCACTCATGTGAGAGACAATAGCGTGTCTAAATATATATTCTTAGATATGGCATGGTATAACTTAATAAGCAATTAACATGATATTAAACATATGGTGTTTATTTGGAGTATTGGCCCTTTAAACCACTGATATAAACTATTTGGCTAAATATATATATTAAGCATTTAAAAACGACAAAAGTACCTTGACGCTCATGTATGACCAACATGCACCCGGTATCAGCTATTCTCTAGGACACGTGTCAGAGTATATGTTCAGAGCTCCTCTAGGACACGTATCAGGGCATATGTTCAGAGCTCCTCTAGGACACGTATCATGGTATATGTTCAGAGCTCCTCTAGGACACGTGTCAGAGTATATGTTCAGAGCTTCTCTAGGACACGTGTCAGAGTATACGTTCAGAGCTCCTCTAGGACACGTATCAGGACATATGTTCAGAGCTCCTCTAGGACACGTGTCAGAGTATATGTTCAGGGCTCCTCAAGGACACGTATCAGGGCATATGTTCAAAGCTCCTCTGGGACACACGCACAGATACACACATCGCTCATGTGACAGACAATAGCGTGTCTAAATATATATTCTTAGATATGGCATGGTATAACTTGATAAGCAATTAACATAATATTAAACATATGGTGTTTATTTGGAGAATTGGCCCTTTAAACCACTGATATAAACTATTTGGCTAAATATATATTTTTGACCAACATGCACCCGGTATCAGCTATTCTCTAGGACACGTATCAGGGCATATGTTCAGAGTTCCTCCAGGAAACGTGTCAGAGTAAATGTTCAGAGCTCCTCTAGGACACGTATCAGGGCATATGTTCAGAGCTTCTCTAGGACACGTGTCAGAGTATATGTTCAGGGCTCCTCTAGGACACGTATCAGGGCATATGTTCAGAGCTCCTCTAGGACACGTGTCAGAGCATATGTTCAGAGCTCCTCTAGGACACGTGTCAGAGTATATGTTCAGGACTCCTCTAGGACACGTATCAGGGCATATGTTCAGAGCTCCTCTAGGACACGTTTCAGAGTATATGTTCAGGGCTCCTCTAGGACACGTATCAGGGCATGTGTTCAGAGCTCCTCTAGGACACGTCTCAGGGCATATGTTCAGAGCTCCTCTAGGACACGTGTCAGAGTATGTGTTCAGAGCTCCTCTAGGACACGTATCAGGGCATATGTTCAGAGCTTCTCTAGGACACGTGTCAGAGTATATGTTCAGGGCTCCTCTAGGACACGTATCAGGGCATATGTTCAGAGCTCCTCTAGGACACGTGTCAGAGCATATGTTCAGAGCTCCTTTAGGACACGTGTCAGAGTATATGTTCAGGGCTCCTCTAGGACACGTATCAGGGCATATGTTCAGAGCTTCTCTAGGACACGTGTCAGAGTATATGTTCAGAGCTCCTCTAGGACACGTATCAGGGCAAGTGTTCAGAGCTCCTCTAGGACACGTCTCAGGGCATATGTTCAGAGCTCCTCTAGGACACGTGTCCGAGTATATGTTCAGAGCTCCTCTAGGACACGTATCAGGGCATATGTTCAGAGCTTCTCTAGGACACGTGTCAGAGTATATGTTCAGGGCTCCTCTAGGACACGTATCAGGGCATATGTTCAGAGCTCCTCTAGGACACGTGTCAGAGCATATGTACAGAGCTCCTCTAGGACACGTGTCAGAGTATATGTTCAGGGCTCCTCTAGGACACGTATCAGGGCATATGTTCAGAGCTCCTCTAGGACACGTGTCAGAGTATATGTTCAGAGCTCCTTTGGGACACGTATCAGGGCATGTGTTCAGAGCTCTTCTAGGACACACGCACAGGTACACATACAGACACACACAGACACTCAAATACACACACACACACACACACACACACACACACACACACACACACACACACACACACACACACACACACACACACTCTATACTTACACACCTACGCCAAAATACACATACGCCCATGCATGCATATATAAATAATGATACTGATTCACTATGGTAACATTATATGAAATGTTGGGAAAACCGGATGTAACCAAAGAAGACACAAGCAAAGGCTAACAACTTCTTTATTTACAGTAAAAGGCGATGTCTCGGTATATAGATCCCTGTACCGTTGTCAAGCAAGACGTTCATGTTCGTCAAACGTTCATTTGATACATCTAATCCATTCACGTTTACTCTTTCCAAATTGTTTGTCATGAAACGATAACTTGATAAGGATACGTGACATGATTTCCTGAAGAGTAAGTACCTTGGCCCCAAAACAATCTCGCTTTAACCAGTTTAATAGAAGGAGTCTTCCAAGTTCCCCATTCACATGAAATGTGGAGATCTTTTTCTAAATGATAAAAGATTTTAAAGAAAAAGTAATGTTTCACTAACAGAGATGTTTTCTCCGACAGACAGAAATAGTTTATTTAAGTGTCACATGTCTGTTAAACTTTTGTTCACTATGTTAGTTAATAAACAGTAAACAGTGAAACACTGACATCCAGCCATGGATCATGAAATCTAAAATCTCTCAGCAGCACATTTGAAATATAATACATGTATGTTAATATAATGTCCATATGAGCCCTATGTTGAAGGCCTTCCATGGCTTTGAGAATGGCCTGGGTGGTTGTTCATATCTGGAACACTACATCCATGTTGGCCTGGTGTTTAAGCCTAGTGGTTAAAGCGTTAGCTCGACACGCTGAAGACCAGGGTTCGATTCACAACATGGGGACCATGTGTGAAGCCCATTCCTGGGATCTTTTTAATCCTATTTATTCTGTTTGTACATCCACCAGGCCTTATACATGTACTGTGTAAACATCAATTAATCAGCGCCACGCCCTTTTTTAAATGATGACATTTTGTATACACAATGTCTTCCAGGATAACACGTTGATTTGGTCGTTAAAGCAAAAGTAATAATAGTTCATATATCTAACTTGTGATTTTTGGGGTAGGCTTTTTAGTGCATTCGCCGCCCATGCACTTACTCCCCCCCCCCCCCCCCCCCCCCCGCGAAGTTACATATGGCCCAAGTGGACGTGGGATACCACCCCCCCCCCCCCCCCCCCCCCCCACCCACCCACCCACCCACCCACCCCCCACCCACCCCAACACGAGCTCTACCCTCATTTAATGTTTTGTATCTTGGAATCACAACGGGTCATGTTTAGTTCAATATGCACATATCAATTAGAATTTGCATATAGTTTGTATGTATAACGTTACGCACTCGGAGACATCCGTAGAAATGTAATATACACTGAAGATGGGCCGCCTTAATGGACGACACTGAACACGACAGACCCCCGACGGCTAAGGTCTAATCGGCATGCTAATGGATTGATGAAGTCACGCCACGTTGCCGCAACTAATTGTTGCACAATAGTGCCAAACTCAACTTTAAAAAATACCATACACATACCACAATAAGTAGGTAATTAGAGCCGACAGAATTAACAGAATCATTCTTCGTATCCGGGCAACAAATTGTCAAGTAATCTGTATATATGCTGTGTTGTGTCTTTCATAGGCCACGTGGCCTGACGTTGTATACGTATTGTGAATATTGTTATTGGCATCGTTACTTGCATTATAAAATGTGTGACACTTTAATAAAATATCTGTCTTCTTTTTTCTTCTTGTTCTATAGATATAACGATGTGCTGAGAGAATAATATGTTTATCCAATTTACCCACGAGATAAGTGACAGACAAACATACGGACGGACGGACAGACAGACAGTAGAAAGACCACGAAACATTATCACAACATCTGCAAAGACCAACAGGAATATGTCTTTAAATTCATTGTCCACAAATACTTCATGTTCATCATTTTCTTTAATAGTATTTATATACAATGTATACCAAGTCATTAACGTAGATCTATATTAAAAAAGCAAGGCATCCCTGGCTGACGCCAGCCCTGGTTTTGAAAGAAATGTACACACTGATAACGGTCTCTGAATGTGTCAAAATATACTTAACAATTAAGAATTGTTAACAAGCCTTGATAAATGTATTTCAACAAGCAATGCATTAATATGTAGACTATTAGAAGAAGACTATTTACAAGAATTGTATACGTTCTATACTCAAAATGTTATAATTACACAAGAAAATATATGAGAAATAGTCTTGAGAACATGTTTTCGTATACAATTGCTTCTCATCTTCTTCGATATGAAATGGACACACAGAAATATTCGATCCAACGCTATGTATACGCCATGTATACGCTACACCAGGGACCATATACAGGATCATATCTGTATATGGTCTCTGGCTAATCGATGTTGATGACGTTGTTACCTCGGATACGATCGCGTGCATTGGTCATTTCTGAACTTTACACAATATAAACAATGCGTTATATAAACACAGTTCAAATTCAAATACAACTGATTTAAACATTACGAACTGACCACAGATTAAAACATATCCTATTATTAGAAACAATGGCACTATAAGCATGTGTTCTACGGTGTTGTCCCTGTACCTGGTTAGATAATCCATGTGAAGCTTTTCAAAGATAATAGACCGTAATTGGTTGGTAGGAATACCCCCTTGGTTCACAAGACAAACCAAAACGAGGTTAACTGTCATGGCGGTCTACATTGGGATATGAGCTGCCAGTGACAAACAGACAACCAAAATGCTCTTACAAGAGCCAGTACAGGTACTTGCAAATTATTTATGCGTTATGTAGAAACACTGACGTATTTAGCAGTATATCTTGTCAGCATATAAACCACTGTTTCTTTCTCTGTAGTTACAATTGTAACGAAAATCGGTGACAAACATTCTGATTTATGAAATAGAAAATGGCGTATGCCCATCTTTGTTATGATTTCGCGTTAGAAGGTTATGCGGGTTGTTTTGTGTTGTTTGGAGGTTAAATGTGGTCACTGGGTGCCGTATACACGTAGGGGAGATAAATATTTTGTATCTCGTTGGTGTAGGTTATAATGTGTGTGTATGATTACAAAGCGAGTGTAGTCCGAACACAGCTGTTGCGACGAAGGGCACCTGTCAAGCAGCCATCGCCCTAAAGTTGTAAATAACGTTCTCAATCTGTTACATGTAGTCAAGTTTATGTATGTGATTAACAGTGGATGTTGAAGGATCAGGACCCTACCTGAAATAGTGTCAAAGACGTGTTCTAGAAAAAGAAATTCATCGCTTGTAGTAACCCACTTTTTTCTTTATTTTTTTTGCATCTCAACACTAATACCACTCACTGTTTTGAAATACTTGTTTTTCTCCTAGAATTTATGATGTCTGAGTGTTTTCTTCATCCATATAAATGAACACATTTGTTAGACTATTGCAAGTATGAACATGATAGGTAAACAATGATGGTAAGAGTATTCATACATGTAATCCTTGAGGTGTATAAGAATAACATGTTACACAAGCATCAGTGAACATGCCATGGTAACTCTCTGATCAGGGGTGTTGAAATTAGTATGCCCAACTTGCCAGACTGGTGAAAATATGGTACCTGGCAAGAGGGAAAATTGAATTTAGTTGCCTTTGCCCAGTGGTTTAACTTTGAAACTTAGATTTTAGAACAAGGTATGGTGTTTGTCAACTACAGTAGAAGTACCTGACTAGCCGTGCTTCTATTCTGGAGATCTCCCTTCAGCTGATGCTTCAGTTAATAAACTTTAGTTGTCAAAATAAAATGTTCTTCTTTTCCATGATTTAGCAGGGCAAGTTGAAAATCAGACTGGACAAGTTGAAATTTTAAGTTTATTTGACTATGGGCAAGTAGGGAATGTTTGTATTTGAAACACCTGCAAATGCTCACAGAATTGAACTAAGTATTGTTTTGAAACTACAAACCTTTTCATGAATTCTTACCAATTTTGCCCTGTACTTGATAAATATTTCACAATATGATCTGTCTATAGAGATTGTTAGACATTACTTGTAATGACACCAGCAGGTGAAATAACAGTTGATAATTTAGAAATAGTTTTCGTGATCGGGATTGACTTGGAGATACGTTTGGGAAACATACATTTGAATATCCATGATATTTGTTTATACAAGGATTGCAACAGTAGACTGTGACAATGTTGATGTGCCACAGATTGGTGTCAGCATTGAGCTGATTGTAATTGGCACTAATTGAGTTTCACTATTTTTAAGTATTTTGTACACAGTGGCAATATAGTAATTACATGTACATTTCTCATTCACAGCTGATAGGGATTGACTCTGAGTTTGACCATGCCATTACTTGTTAAAGGAAATAATGATTTTTGTGTGTCTTTGGGCCGAAAAATCAGTTTTCTATAACTGTTAATTTGTTACAGAAAATTTGTTACTTGTGTCATTTGAATGATAATATTTAGTAAAGCAATCTAGACTTTGGAAATTGTTTGATGTGACCAATATGTAAGTTAATATGCAATGTTTGCTATAACAATGTTCTACTGTGTAGTTGGTTCGGTTCATCCTGAAATGTAGCTTCTGTAACAGGACTTATATGAGCGTGTTTAATAGGCATTTCTTAGAAGTTGAAGGATGACAAAATGGACATAATGTACATGGATTTAACACGACCTGCTCAGAGGCCAATATTCGACCCCAAGTCTACAGCAAATGACAGTAAAAATTCCCAATTTGAATAAAAATGTTCCATTTCCTCAGAATTTACGAAAATATCAACTTTAAGAAAAAACAATTTTGAACAATATATGCTTTCAATGGGCTCTTAGGTATCCTAGATATGTCAGGATTATGGATAACAACTTCCTTAATATACTGTTGTTGTGACGTGTCAGGATAAGGATCTATTTAAGGATTGACTGTGTATTTTTATCAGTTCATTGAGGTATGAATCGAGAAAACCGATGTGCAAACTGTATGAATATGCATAGCGGTTTCTTACTTTTTTACAAAAGTTTCCTACAAAAGTGTGCACATCAGTTTTTCGAGTCATACCTCAATGAACCGAAAAAAATACACAGTCAATGCTTATAATTAAATTTGACATGAAAACATGTTTTATCTACAATAGTTTAACCAAAAACAGCTGTATATATCAAAGCAGACAAAAATGCCAACATTTATAAACAGTCCAGGTGTAGGAATACATACTGTGGCGTGACATGAATCTGGTGATTGTTTAATTTGAGCACATAACTTGACAATCAAGGCAAGAGGCGAGATGAAGTGCAACAGTCAGACTGCAACAAACCGGGACTAATATGTCCGGGAGAAGGCGGCTGTTTTAAATGACATGGTCAGTTATCACCAGATTCAACCATTAATTCCCTGAGAACAGGAAGACACGGTCGGAAAAATGATAGTTCGAAATGAAACCCAGAGTCATGAAAGTTGTGGAACCGAGGCAAACGGGGGAAAGAAACAGGCGACACGTTTGCTGTTTCATTACTTCTCGGCCTTCGGTCTCAAAGGGTTGTTTGGACAATGAATATGCATGAATTTTGCTAAATGTCCTGTGCATGACGATACTCGCGAACAGAAAGGTAGTTCCCTCGACTGTAATATTGGGATTCCCTGACATTCCGCAGTAATAAAAGCACCCGCCTCGGTGGTCGTGCTTAATTTTTTACATTCATTGGGAAATGAATGCAATAACACGTGACCAATTCAGCTAATCAGAATGCATGAATTTCAATGAACACAATGAAAATTTAATTACAGTGTAATGTCGCTAATACAGTATATTATTGAAGTTGTTATCCATAGCTTGTGTCCACTTTGTGAGAGTGATTAAGGGGACCTAACTAATAATACATCCTAAAGCTGTATCAAAGTAATTAACATGATTTACATCTACTGTCACTGTCAGACTATTCAGTAAGCTTGTGCTCCCACTGGACAAGCGTGTTGAAGCTTCAGAGGCAATATACGCAATCGTCCATGTGCTCATAAAATAGACTTTGTAGGCATTGTAAGCAGGGACTGTACTTGACACATGATTTGTAGCTATCACGTGATGTAAACAGCCTAGTTAGCAGTCGACAGCCATGTATGCCTTGTCAGATGGAAGAAATGCCGAAAACAGTTTTCTTAGTACTTTCATCGGTTTGGCAAATTGATGCTATCAGTATGGTCTGTCAGTGAAAATAACTATTCTTTGTTGATAAAACTTGTTTTTCCTTGTCAATTACAACTGCCTCTGTGGTCTTGTGGTAGAGCGCCTGGAAGGAGAGCAGATCCCTGGCTGCGTCCTTCCAAAAGATGTTAAAAGATGGTACTTGTGTTGTGATGGTACTTACAGTTACACATGTGCGTGGAATGTGCTGTGTATTGACCTGGATTTTGTATTGCAGTATATTGCCATACTTTAACCTGTATTGCGATACATATTGCAGTATATTGCCAATTTACATTTTTATGAGTTATTCAGAGTCATACCCTGTGTTAATGTCAGATACCATCAGTCAGTGTCCCTCACTATTTTTCCTTTTCAGTGAATAAATGTATGATAAAGAGATTAAAGAATAAAAACAAAACAAGAAATAAATCTGACTTCATCCTGTTACTTTTGTAACATAGATTCAGAAAGATACTATTTTCCATCTCTATATCGATTGGGAACACAAATATACTTATTTATGTTTGCCCCAATATATTGCTACATTTACAAATATATTGCAATATGTATTGCTGAAGATTTGCACCACATTATACTGCACACCTTTAGTCGAATGTAAGTTAAACCAGGAGACAAAACAAAGACATGATGCTTAGGTAGTTATCCATTATAATGATTATGGATCCAAAGAGAAAATAACAAATTATTGGTCAAGGTGTTTATAAAGCCATCTGATTTTCAGGCTGCCATCTTAGATGCCTTGAATCACTATGCCTACAGCGATGCCACATTCCTTGCTGAGAGACTGTATGCTGAAGGTGAGTTGAGATGAGGATAGTGATAATTGTATGCAAGTGAGACTAGCATGGACACTGAGAGAGACTGCAACAGATACTTTGTCTTAGGTGAAACATGTACAATATGGTATTTATGTGAATTTATACATATTTTGCTACTGTGAAAATTACAGAATCACAAGAATGTCCCTGATTGTTTTGACAGGTGGTTTTGATACCTGTATCATAGGCAGATCCAGAGGGTGGATCCAGGAGGTCCGCCGACCCCACCCCAACCCCCCTTTTGAAAACCAAATGTAGTATGTTGTAGGCAGTAAAATTGACTGAGAGAGGATTTTGATATTTTGACCCCTCCCTTTTAAAAATGCTAGATCCACCCTTGTATATGTTTCATGTCAGTTCTCAAAAAGCTGTTACAATGGGATGACAATATGGCTGAAACATTGCCGATGCAGCGTTCAGTTCTAAGAGGTAACTACACTTGTTGTAAGAGGTGACTAACAGGATCGGGTTGTCAGATAAGCTGACTTGATTGAAGCATGTCATTGTATCCCGGTTGCATGGATTGATGCTCATGATATCAGTCAGTGGATTGTCTGGTCCAGGCTCGATTATTTACAGACCGCAGTCATGTAGCTGAATATTGCTGAGTGTGGCGTTAAACAACAAGCAGTTTTCAACAGGGAATGACAATATTGCTGTGACATTAAAATAATAATTTTAACTCACCCACACAAAACTACATCATAAGTCAGTTTTCAACACCTTTCATGTCCATGCTCTGTTTCAGTGTCGTCAGATGAGGCACTTCACCTGTTGGCAACATGCTATTATCGGTCAGGCCGACCCATCCAGACGTACATGCTGCTCCAGAAGCGAGGCTGCCCCACCCCCCAGTGCAAGTACCTTATGGCCAAATGCTGCATGGACATCCAGAAGTAAGGACTTCATCCCGATTCCTCTAACATAACGAACATAATTTGTCCCAACCCAGCAGTTCTACGGGGCTGAAGTGGGTCACAAAATAGCGATTTTATTCCAAGATAGGGTTTGGTTGACTCATGTATTAAAAAATAATTATTTCATATTTCTTTTCATGTAATAGTTTTGGAAAACTACTGTCAATTTTTCATGTGTTTATGTATTGAGAATCTCACCCCTATATCTCAAATATATCAACGCTGTTCAATAAAAGTTTAAATCTCTATGGCTTGCCGAAGAATTTTAACCTTTTATTGACAAATATTGATATATTTGGTGTCAAAAGACGCTTGGGTGAGATTCTATTTATCATCCAACATTCGTCCAACTTTTAAGCTTGTAAACAGTAATAAGTGATGTCATGAGTGTAAGAAGTACTGTTGACCTCCCTCAGTGGCTGAAAGATCAGTGATGTCATTTGATTACGACATCATGCTGACCAATTATGTCACAATTGTCTGCAAATCATTGTGATGCAATTTCATTACATCACTAGGAGATATCGCAGGGTGATAAATACAACTGTGAGTACAACTGTTTTAGGTCCAGTGATTTTGACGCAAAACATAAACCATAACAACAAATCAGTGCAATACCTAGACTAACATCTAGTCTCTGAAATGAACATGTCGCACAGAAAAAAACCAGTTGTTCAATTATCTTAATAAAAATGTAATGAAAGGGAGCCCAGTGAATCTCTTCGTTTTCACTGCAGTAATCTAGACTTGTCGAACATTATAGACTTGCATGGGCTGTATTTGATATATATTTGTGTCAGGGTCTGTAAGACAGACTATGCAATACCGTTCATGATTGGATGAATATATACGAATATATATGAAAGTTATTAAAGCTCCTGACACATTTCCTTCTGATACAGAAAGTATGATACAAACACACACACTGCTCAGAATGTCAGTTATGATTTTTGATGACTGTGCATTATTGAATAAAATTGATACTGTAAGTAGGACCATTCATTACTACCGGTATTCACGTTTTAATTATCAAATTATGAAATGTGATGCCTTGCTTAGAATTTCTATCGGTCCAAAGTTTGACAACTTAAACAAACTGTTGGACAGGTATTCCAGGAGTGGGTGAGTAAATAATAAAAACCTACAACTTTATGGATATCATCTTCTGGTTTATTGCATGTAGCAGTGTTTCAATGTAGATCTAAGCTGGAGTGATTACAACCAAGTGATGAGAGGTGTATAATATATGGAAGATATGTTGTAAGAAGCAGCCATATGGTTCATGAGCCAGATATATCATGATACAGTTAGGATTAAAACCTAAACAATCGGATTAGATAATAATAAAAAAAATTTAAAAAAGCTGATTGGATACTAATTAACTGGTTGGTCAAGCTGATGGGATACTAATTTAAAGTCTATTGCTTTTTAGACATTGGACTTCTATTGCTTCCGCGAGTTTTGTTTTTGTGAAATTCCGATGTTTAGTTGAGACTTTGTCAACTGGATTTGATGGCTTGGGGACTTTTGTTGGTGGTCTGAGAGGGCTGATTTGCTGTCTGCTCTGGCTGTTTTTATGTTCTTTGATGTGGATATCTAATGGGCTTCACAAAAAGAAAACTCTCGGATAATGCTTGATCATGGTGTACGAATCTACAACTAGGCGACGCAACATGCAGTTAACCGGAAGTTGTTATCAGTTGTATGTTTTTATTATTAACTTATACAAACTATCGGTCAAATTGAAATTTTATCGGTCTGTGACCAGTGACTGATGGACATCTGAGACTGTGAGGCCTCATTGTGATGTGATGGACCAGCATGATTAAGGGTGTTTAACTGTTACCATCAGGTGTTTGGGGTTTCAGATTCCAGTGTACAAATGTGTTGTGTTGCAGGTATGCGGAGGCTGAGGACACGCTGGCAGGGAACATCCTGAGTCGCTGCAAGTCTCTGGATGAGATCGAGAATGAGTTCGGCAACATGGCGTGCCACGTCTTCTCTCTCCTGGGGAACATGTATAGGTGAGTGAAATACTAGACCCAGCATCTCAGGATGTATGTGAGGTCATGTGTCCATAGTCAGGTTACTGTATTTATAGTGAGTGAGTGAGTGAGTGAGTGAGTGAGCATGGTTTATGCTTCTTTTAGCAATATTCCAGCATTATCACGGCGGGGGACATCAGAAAGGGGATTCCCACATTGCACCGATGTGGGGAATCGAACCCGGACCTTCGACGTGAAGAGCAAACACTACCTCACAGCCACTACTATTTTCATAAGAGAATGTCCCAGGCTTGTTGCGAGATGTGACACGAATAGATGCGTATTTAACACAATGTTAAGTTGAGCTGAACATGATGAAAGCCAAGCATTAAGATAACATGGCTGGTCAGCTTGGAGTCAGTATACTGTATCAGAGTAGGGTGTCTTTGTTAAACAGGGGCATGTATGTCAGTGGAATAGCACTCTAAAACCAGCATTAATCCGGACAATGACAAACAGTGTATGGATTAGTTGCTCAAGTTCACTGGCCAGGTGTTGCAAGCCCCCCATCAGTGTTACTAGCCCCACTTTCTGGCTACAGCCTACATATTTTGTAGTTGGAATTAAATATGCATTGACTAGAATTTTCAACTCGACTGTCGGACAAGCTTTATGGAAATGTTACTAAAATTTTTTAGAAGTCACTGGCATTTGGCTAGCAGGCAGGCAGGCAGCTGTCTTGAGCACTGAGTACAAGCAGCCATGCATGCATGTGCATGTGCATGCACATCGCTAATAAGTGCAATGATCTTGAATGTGATGTTAAACCCCATCACCTCACAACAGTGTGGATTGATCTTCCTACTGCCCATGTGTCCAAGCAAGGCCCAGTAATACACATGGAGATGTACTTTTTGTTGAGATTTAAAGGGAGGGTCTGCTCTGACAAAATGGCAGTCCTGGAAGGTTTGGGGGAATTGTTGTGACACCTCTTTGTTTGCTATCTTATGGTAATGATGTATTCCAACACAGCAGTGAACGGTTGCCCTGGTAGCATGCAGACAGTATGTCAGTTTCTCTCTCATCCAGAGGGGATTTGGGGTAGAAATATACAATAGGGATCCCCTCCAACCTATGCTTGTAGTAAGAGGCGGCTGAATGGATCGGGTTGTTAGGCTTGTTGACTTGGTTGAGCATGAATCATTACTCATAAATTCAATCACTTATCTGGTTCAGATCAGATTATTTACAGGCAGCTGTCATATGGCTGGAATATTGTTGAGAGGGGTGTTAAGCAACAATCAAACAAAATAAATACCTCGCATTGAAGTAATTCAATTATCTAATCCTGTACTGAAAATTGGCACCAGATTTGGTGCAAAGACCCTCTTTAATAAAGATACCTGGTATGACAGAGGGTATAGTCACAATGTATTGGTCTGCTATTCCCTTCACATTTTAAAATTATATTTGCACTCATATTTGTTTTCAGTAAAACGGAACGTGTAAAGAAAGCTGCGGAATGTTACAGGAAAAGTCTTCGAATTAATCCCCTTCTGTGGAAGTCATATGAAAGGTTGTGCCAACTTGGTAAGTGTTCCGGAAAATACCTGCATGTGATAAACATCTATCTGCCCTGATCATGGTTGAGACTCATTATTGTCCCCATCAGAAGTGGGAGGGGAATATTATTCGCCTCCACAAAGGAGGAGGGTAGTATAGAAAAGGTGTCCTCCTTTCCTCAAAGGCCATTCAATATTTCTTGATGAAACTTTGTACAGATATTAGCCTAGCCATGAACTGGATTCTTTTTTGTATTTTAGGAATTTGTGTAATTTATTTTTTGTCCAGTGTCCATGACAAAGAATTAGGGTTCAAATAAAGGTAGAGATTGTTTTCGGAGATTAACTGTTTGTATTTCAGCACTTATCAGGCTTATAGGTCCACTGCTGACTTTTGTTTTTTTTGGTTTCACTTTTGTATATTTTATCTGGTTCCATTGAAACAAATGGAAAACCTCAGTGTATCTGATGATAGCCCCTGGCCCAGTGATCTTCTCATTGTGACACCACCCTAGTAGCATGGCGAAAGCAAGGTTCGTACAAGGTTGAAACGGCCTTGAGTTTCAAGGTCCCTGTTGAAAAGCCTTGACTTTTAGTGTCATGATGTCAATCACTGATTGTCGGGTCCAGACTTGATTATTTACATACCGCCATTAGATAGCTGGAATATTGCTGAGTGCAACGTCAAACAAACAAACAAACAAACAAACAAACAAACAAATAATAACCCAACTAAAAAAGCCTTGAAAATGACAATTGAAAGCCTTGAATTTTGGTGTTCCATATCTGTATGAACCTTGGCGAGGTACCAGTCAGTTAGCAGTGTATCCAGTGAAACCCCTGCCTGGGTGATCATCTTGGTGAAACCACCCTACTGACATGGCGAGAGGTACCAGTGTCATTTACTATTTAGTACAAGGCCCAGGCAGCTAGTGAGGTGAGGGCCTTGAGTGTTGCACATACCACATGTGGGGACATGAGTATTTGATACTTTTCAATCTTTTATGAGTTCCCCATGTAAAAGCTAGGTACACTACAATAGGGTCATGTGATTGGAGCATCACTATCCTCACTCGTGACAAACTTGCAAGATTTATTTGTGTTGATTACAAATACCATTTATGTTCAGTGTTGGAGTGAGGCTGAGGATATCGATCTGTTATCTCTAAATGATAGCTTGTTACTAGTCTGTGTCCTCTGTGTGACAGGTGAGAAGGTTGACCCTGGCCAGGTGTTCCAGCTACCCCAGCATACAGCCCCGCCCACCAACACCCACAACATGTCACAGAACATCACCGATGTCCTCACCCCAATCTCGGAGGCCATAGCACCCGGGTGTAATGATGCCAACGTCAGGTGGGAGCAAGGTTCCCTCTTGAAGGTGAGTGTGTCTTGCATGGACACGATCAAGGCTATCGCTGTGTCTGTGATCCTGAGTTGGTCACCAGTACCCGTGCTTTTTGTAAGGGTAGAGATAGATGAGCGTGTGCTTGCATGAACATGATCAAGGCTATCACTGTGTCTGTGATCCTGAGTTGGTCACCAGTAGTCATGCTGTTTGTAAGGGTAGAGATAGATGAGCGTGTGCTTGCATCAAGGCTATCATTGTGGCTGTTACCCTGAGTTGGTCACCAGTAGCCTTGCTGTTTGTAAGGGTAGAAATAGATGAGCGTGTGCTTGCATGAACATGATCAAGGCTATCACTGTGGCTGTTACCCTGAGTTGGTCACCAGTAGCCTTGCTGTTTGTAAGGGTAGAGATAGATGAGTGTGTGTTTGCATCAAGGCTATCGCTGTGTCTGTTATCCCGAGTTGGTCACCAGTAGTCATGCTGTTTGAAAGGGTAGAGATAGTTGAGCGTGTGCTTGCATCAAGGCTATCGCTGTGTCTGTGATCCTGAGTTGGTCACCAGTAGTCATGCTGTTTGTAAGGGTAGAGATAGATGAGCATGTGCTTGCATCAAGGATATCCCCAGTGGCCATGCAGTTTGGTGGCACTCATTGCTGTGGCATAGTAAATATGTTAACATGTTTAGATCTGTTAAGTTATGCAAGCAATATAAATTGTATTGTACTTAACAGTGAAGCCACACCTGTCCACAGCAGTTTCGATAAACTACTACAAGCTATATGGAGAGTTATATTTATGTGTTGTTTTGCTCCAGATGCAGACCCCCACCCCTCAGATCTGTGTGACTCAGTCCATGACCCCCGAGAATCAGGAGCCCCCATTGGTGGACATCCCCTCTGCCCCCACAACAGCCCGCTACCCCCGCACACAGTCCGTCATCTCCAGGGGTCTCTACAGTAAACCCCTGTTCCACAGCCCTCTCACTCCTCGGTAAGTACCGCCAATGACAATCTGCATCCAGTCTTGGTGTTTCAGACATGACAGGAAACACCATGGTGCTATTTTCTTTCTGCCTTAACATGTTGAGATAACAGATAAACATTCTGACACTCAAGTAAAACAGTAAACTCCCATATAGGCCAATGTTTCCTGAAAGCCTATTGCTTTTGGTCTGTTTTAATTGACAGTGCTCTTGGCAGGCACTGTAATCATGTTTGTGTCAATTTAACTGTTCTGTTTGTGTATTGTTAAGGGAGAGTTTTAGCGATGTTCCCATCCTATTCTGAGCCATAACTTGTAAACAGTTCAATGTTCCTTTAAGAAAACTTAACATATACATTGCTCATCTGCTTATCTGGAGCCTTTTGCTCTTTTTAAATGTTTCTAAATTATTACTTTTCCTTGACAACAATTTCAACTTAGTCCTTAACGAGGCTAGAGTTGCTCAGGTAGCTGTGATGTGTGTGTATTTTGAAGTGAGAGTTTTGTTCATGTTAATGTAAGTGATCTGCTTCTGCTGCAGTTTTGGCATCCTGCCCCTGGAGACTCCGAGCCCTACTGATCATAACACCATGCCCTTCATCACGCCCAGCCCTGTCTCCTACAGTGAGCAACAGACGCTCGACCCCAAGGCGCCCAGCAAGAAGGTAAACTGTCATCAGTTGTTAGGAAGCACGTTTCAGCTAGGTGGTAATGTGGAGCAACAAATCTATTTTTAGATAACATCATGAATATCAATCAAGTCAATTGGATGACGTTGTGGTCACTGAATCTGGAATTGCCACAGGCAACTGTTTAATGTGTTTTTTGTAGTTACGTTTCCCCAACTATTTTCAGCCGGTCACACGGAGAAGTCAGAATCAAAACCAGATGCCAAAGCCTCCAGTATTCAGCATGTCTGGAAACACAGCCAACACCAGAGACATTTCTAACCAGACAGGGTGAGCCTAATTCTGCCATGACATTGAAGAAATGCTTGATTCTGATTGGTTAAAGTTAGGTATCAATTTTCTGATTGATACATCTAAATCATGCCTTTTTACAAATAAAACATGCATATGGATACATCAATAACCTACATTTTGATCTTTAAACCATTACTTCCAATAACCTGTCATCACTGCATTCATTCAATATCTGAACACTATCAGACGTTTTTATGTCCTTGACCTTAACCCTGACTGGTTTCATGGTGCAGAACAGGACATGTAGTTTGCATACTTACTAAAGCACTTGGTTCAAAATTATAATAAAACAGTATTGATTAATTTCAAAACAGAGTAGGTTCATCTCTAAAACACTTTCCCTATGTCATATTTGGTGATTACCTTTTTTTCGTGGTTAGTCTTTGTAAATATAATAATGGCCAATTCTGTACCTTTGTACTCTGATGTGGATAATTGCTCATACTAACAATTACTGTGAACTGTTGTTTTCCTTACAATTTTCAATGTCTCATTCCTTGTCTGTATGAGAGCTGGATTGCCACTTCTATTTCTCTTACTCTTTTCATTCATTCCAGGAATATTCCAAATGTCAGAAGAAGTTCACGGTTGTTTGGAAATTCAAGCTCTGTCAAGGTAATTAATATTTCATGTGTATTATTGTTGGTCAAAGATATGGAATATGTGACTACATGCTGTCTTCAATACGAACCATGCTGATTGGGTATTGGTCTGTACCCTTTAGGAAAACAACAAGAGTCAAGGAAAATCAAGATTTGCCAGTCCGAAGGCAGTTGGTCGGAAGTCCAAGACGAGACTGAGCAAGTCCCAACAAGAACTGAATGAAATCAACAAGAGTGACTTGTCTGTAGACAGCAAGCCATCCTTGCCTTCCGACACCCCAACCCAAACGCAGATCATACAGATGCAGCACCAGTCATTAGGTAAGTAGTGTCTATGTCACACTATTACATCTTTAATACTCATACATCAGTCATTAGGGAAGTAGTGTCTCTGTCACACAATATTACATCTTTAATACTCCTACATCAGTCATTAGGGAAGTAGTGTCTCTGTCACACAATATTACATCTTTAATACTCCTACATCAGTCATTAGGGAAGTAGTGTCTCTGTCACACACTATTACATCTTTAATACTCCTACATCAGTCATTAGGGAAGTAGTGTCTCTGTCACACACTATTACATCTTTAATACTCCAACATCTGTCATTAGGGAAGTAGTGTCTCTGTCACACACTATTACATCTTTAATACTCCAACATCTGTCATTAGGGAAGTAGTGTCTATGCTATTCCTATAAAATGTCAATGTTCTGTTTCAGCGGGTATCTTGAATCTCCTGCAGGCCTTGGGCAAGGCATATCTGTCGCTGTCTCAGTACGACTGTCGCAAGGCGGCAGAACAGTTCTCGGATCTGCCTGAGCATCAGTACAACACAGGCTGGGTGCTCTCTCAACTGGGCCGAGCTTTCTTTGAAGGGGCAATTTACCAAAAGGTAGACTCTCGAGAACTTACTGTGTGAATCAAATATGTCTGTCTTGAGGTTGTGTTGGCTTTTATTTGCAAATGTAGAACAGAAGATGATCTGCCTTTTGTTCAAATTGAACTGTGGTGAGGGATGCCCCAGTGGTGAGGGATGCCCCCAGTGGTCAGGGATGCCCCTAGTGGTCATGGATGCCCTAGTGGTCATGGATGCCCCCAGTGGTCAGGGATGCCCCAGTGGTCAGGGATACCCCCAGTGTTCGAATATGCCCTAGTGTGGTCAGGGATATCCCCAGTGGGCAGAGATACCCTCAGTGGTCAGGGATGCCCCAGTGGTCAGGGATGCCCCCAGTGGTCAGGGATACGCTCAGTGGTCAGGGATACCCAAGGGATACCCCCAGTGGTCAGGGATGCCCCAGTGGTCATGGATGCCCTAGTGGTCAGGGATGCCCCAGTGGTCAGGGATACCCTCAGTGGTCAGGGATACCCAAGGGATACCCCCAGTGGTCAGGGATGCCCCAGTGGTCATGGATGCCCTAGTGGTCAGGGATGCCCCAGTGGTCAGGGATGCCCAAGGGATACCCCCAGTGGTCAGGGATGCCCCAGTGGTCATGGATGCCCTAGTGGTCAGGGATGCCCCAGTGGTCAGGGATGCCCCAGTGGTCAGGGATACCCAAGGGATACCCCCAGTGGTCAGGGATGCCCCAGTGGTCATGGATGCCCTAGTGGTCATGGATGCCCCAGTGGTCAGGGATGCCCTAGTGGTCAGGGATGCCCCAGTGGTCAGGGATGCCCCCAGTGGTCAGGGATGCCCCAGTGGTCAGGGATGCCCCAGTGGTCAGGGATGCCCCACGGGTCAAGGATGCCCCAGGGGTCAGGTATTACCCAGTGGTCTACTGATGCCCCAGGGGTCAAGGATGCCCCAGGGGTCAGGTATTACCCAGTGGTCTACTGAGCTTGGAAGTGAACCTGTCCTTGTTTTGAAAAATTGATACTACTTGAAGCAATATTCAGTATTATTCACTCATTTATAAGGGGAGATAAGTACAGTTATCTCCCCTTGAGCATCTCTACCTTAGTCCTCTAGTCTTCCTTAGTGCTCTGTATGGCCGTGTGAATATTTGCCTGATAACGATGCGTGACATTGAATGATTATGGTTGATAGTGTGAGCTCACAGTCAGATGTAATTTCACTTATCTTACAAGAATGTCCGATTCTGATTGGCTAATGTACACTGCTAATGTGAGAGATATATTTCTTAGTTCACCACTCGATTTGCTAAGCTGTTGGCATTGCATTCTACATTTACATACCAGCTGCAATTTTTAATTTCAAAATAATGATATAAAATGTGATTCTCCGGATATTTTCCGAATGAAATAGACCTAAGGGGAATAACTCAAGTTTGTTTTTGGCTGCTGCGATATTCTCACTGATTTCAGACCAAAGTATGTATACATAAGACATACTGTAATGTGATTAGATGTGCAGGAACATTAACTGTAATAGAGGGTACATCAGCCCCCCTGGAGATTGGAAGACAACTGACCCTGTTTGTGTTGTGACAGGCGGAGAAGATCTTCCAGGAGTTACGTCGCCTGGAGCCGTACCACATGGAAGGGTTAGAATACTACAGCACCACTCTGTGGCACTTGCAGCGGGAGGTGGAGCTCTCCACCCTGGCCCAGGAGCTCACCGAGCTCGACAAGAATTCACCAGAGGTGAGACATGAGCATGCTAGCTAGCACTTATCCAATGTCCTACCCCGAGAGATTCTGCTGCATATAGGGGGTCCACAAAGCGATTGAGCACTACGATTGTCGTACGTTTATGTTAAGTATAGGAGTTAACCCCTACCCCTACGATCGCTTTGTAGAGCAGGGCCCTATTTCAGTGTCAGCAGGGCTTGATTTATGGAACTTGCTTGAATTTGCACCTGGTGCATGTTGACATGAAAACCTAGTTGAACCAGACAAGACCAGGTTACACCCTGGTCACATGAATTGATAAAAGATAGATGCATAAACTGGTCCAAATAAATGCAGGGGCGGTCGGGTAGCGGTAGTGGTTAAAGCGTTCGCTCGTCACGCCGAAGACCCGGGTTCGATTCCCGACATGGGTACAATGTGTGAAGCCCATTTCTGGTATCCCCCTGCCGTGATATTGCTGGAATATTGCTAAAAGCGGCGTAAAACCGTACTCACTCACTCACTCTAAATAAATGCAATCTCAGATCTCTGATGACAGTTTCATGATTTTACCTAAATTAATGACATATTGCTGTGAAACATATTCCCATGTGCACATAACCTTGAAGAACCCACAGTTTGACGTGAAGACCAAGAAAGTATGACAGTGTTTAGTTGATACAACTTAATTTTGTTTATCTGACCTACTCCTTAATCCGACATAAGCATATGCAACCAGCCATGGCAGATTAACTGGACTTGACTGAATGTTTGTGACTCTTTTTACTTTGAGAAGACGTCAACACCAAAGACAGAAACACCTTTGTCTAAGCAATTTATTTCTGCTATAGACACAAAATGTTCAGCTGAAAGTACTCTTGTATCCCAAACCTAAATTTAATGCCTCAGTCCTTCTTTGAATAGCAACATTGTGCCATGACTTAATGTTTATCAAACATAAAAACTGTTTTGTGTCAGTTTTGAATCAGTAGCAGATTTTACACGTTGTTTATTTCAACAGGCTTGGTGTGCAACAGGAAACTGCTTCAGTTTGCAAAAGGAACATGATGTAGCGATCAAGTTCTTTCAGCGGGCGACACAGGTGGACCCAACATTTGCCTATGCGTACACGCTGCTCGGCCATGAGTATGTCTTCACAGAGGAGCTGGACAAAGCGTTGACCTACTTCAGGAACGCCATAAGGGCAGATCCCCGACACTATAACGCTTGGTAAGTCTTAACATGATCAATACAGTTGTATGTGATTGTATTTGTGAGATAGATACATGTGGCTACAATTATGTTCATTGATCATTGTCAACATTCCAATATCATATTTTATTGTTTTTGAATTGTGAAATTATGATTGTTTTATTACTTGAAAGGCTTCATATTTTAAGGCCTTCCAAAGCCATCCATGCTGACTTGAAGTCCCTAGCTCCATATTGCTTGTCTGGATTGGTGGACCCAGGTTAGAATAGGTCCCTAGCACCCTATTGCTTGTCTGCCTTGGTGGACCCAGGTTAGAATAGGTCCCTAGCACCCTATTGCTTGTCTGCCCTGGTGGACCCAGGTTAGAATAGGTCCCTAGCAACCCATTCCTTGTCGGCCCTGGTGGACCCAGGTTAGAATAGGTCCCTAGCACCCTATTGCTTGTCTGCCTTGGTGGACCCAGGTTAGAATAGGTCCCTAGCACCCTATTGCTTGTCGGCCTTGGTGGACCCAGGTTAGAATAGGTCCCTAGCACCCTATTGCTTGTCGGCCTTGGTGGACCCAGGTTAGAATAGGTCCCTAGCACCCTATTGCTTGTCGGCCTTGGTGGACCAAGGTTAGAATAGGTAACGCAGCACCATTGCTTGTTGTAAGATTGAGGTGGATGGTCTGGTGATGCCTGTCATTGTACCAACATGGAGTGAAACAATACACAGTCAAACTAGCCCCTTCCACTGAAAGTCAACTAGTTGTCCAAATGAATGGCCATAATTTATTTTGTACTGATCATACTGCTTTAGGTTAACAAAAATGCTATAACATTACAGGTAGTGTTTAAGTGAGAGAAATAGTTTTTTGGAAATGTATCAAAAGTGTGATACTTATTCCTTGAGAACAAATGTCAAATATTTTGTTTCAGGTATGGTGTTGGTATGATATTTTACAAACAAGAAAAGTTCAGCTTAGCCGAAGTCCATTTCAGTAAAGCCTTAAAGATCAACCCTCAGAGTTCCGCACTCCTCTGTCATGTTGGTGTGGTGAGTAGTTGACAGGAAGATATTGTAGTATAGGCCAGTACTAACCCTACATGTTGTCATGGATCATGTGTGTTGTGTTTGGTCTCAGTGACTCTGAAGTATGGCTTGAGTATGATATAGGATATATGCAGTGTGATTATATAGGATATATGCAGTGTGATTATATAGGATATATGCAGTGTGGTGAGTAGTTGACAGGAAGATATTGTAGTATAGGCCAGTACTAACCCTACATGTTGTCATGGATCATGTGTGTTGTGTGTGGTCTCAGTGGACTCTGAAGTATGGCTTGAGTATGATATAGGATATATGCAGTGTGATTATATAGGATATATGCAGTGTGGTGACATAGGATATATGCAGTGATATGATATATGCAGTGGGATGATATATGATATGTGCAGTATGATTATATAGGATATATGCAGTGGGATGATATATGATATATGGAGTGGGATGATATATGATATATGCAGTGGGATGATATAGGGTATATGCAGTGTGATGATATAGGATACATGCAGTGTGATGATATAGGATATATGCAGTGTGGTGACATAGGATATATGCAGTGATATGATATATGCAGTGGGATGATATATGATATGTGCAGTATGATTATATAGGATATATGCAGTGGGATGATATATGATATATGGAGTGGGATGATATATGATATATGCAGTGTGATGATATAGGGTAAATGCAGTGTGATGATATAGGATACATGCAGTGTGATGATATAGGATATATGCAGTATAATGATATGTGATATATGCAGTGTGATGATATAGGATATATGCAGTATAATGATGTGATATATGCAGTGTGATGATATAGGGTAAATGCAGTGTGATGATATAGGATATATGCAGTAGGATGATATAGGGTAAATGCAGTGTGATGATATGGGATATATGCAGTAGGATGATATAGGATATATGCAGTGTGATGATATAGGGTATATGCAGTGTGATGATATAGGATATATGCAGTGTGATGATATAGGGTATATGCAGTGTGATGATATAGGGTATATGCAGTGTGATGATATAGGGTAAATGCAGTGTGATGATATAGGATAGATGCAGTGTGATGATATAGGGTATATGCAGTGTGATGATATAGGATATATGCAGTGAGATGATATAGGGTTTATGCAGTTTGATGATATAGGATATATGCAGTATAATGATATGTGATATATGCAGTGGGATGATATAGGGTATATGCAGTATAATGATATGTGATATATGCAGTGTGATGATATAGGGTATATGCAGTGTGATGATATAGGGTATATGCAGTGGGATGATATAGGGTATATGCAGTGTGATGATATAGGATATATGCAGTGTGATGATATAGGATATATGCAGTGTAATGATATAGGGTATATGCAGTGTGATGATATAGGATATATGCAGTGTAATGATATAGGGTATATGCAGTGTGATGATATAGGATATATGCAGTGTGATGATATAGGGTATATGCAGTGGGATGATATATGATATATGCAGTTGGATGATATGGGGTATATGCAGTGTGATGATATGGGGTGTATGCAGTGGGATGATATGGGGTATATGCAGTAGGATGATATGGGGTATATGCAGTGTGATGATATAGGGTATATGCAGTGGGATGATATGGGGTGTATGCAGTGTGATGATATGGGGTATATGCAGTGGGATGATATGGGGTATATGCAGTAGGATGATATGGGGTATATGCAGTGTGATGATATAGGGTATATGCAGTGGGATGATATTGGGTGTATGCAGTGTGATGATATGGGGTATATGCAGTGGGATGATATGGGATATATGCAGTGGGATGATATAGGATATATGCAGTGTGATGATATGGGGTGTATGCAGTGTGATGATATGGGGTATATGCAGTGGGATGATATGGGGTATATGCAGTGGGATGATCTAGGGTGATGTATGACCACTAGAGACACTGTTTCTCTCCCTGTCCAGGTTCAGCATGCTCAGCAGAAGTCCGAGTCCGCCCTGCAGACTCTCAACATCGCCATCAGTGCAGACCCCAAAAATCCTCTATGCAAGTTCCACCGGGCGTCCATAATGTTTGCTAATGACAAACACATGGTAAGCAGCACAGCCACTATTGCATAATGGCAGTTCCACTTTTAAGGCCTCTCTTTTGAATCATGCAAAATCATTTTGACAAATTGTAGGGTCAGTGGTTGAGAAAAGAAAATTGTTTTGAGGAAAGTTACGAGAATAAAGGGTTACCTCCCTTTGAGGTTTATTGCATGACTTCGATTAGTTAACAGACTCTGCAGGAAGACTTTGTGTTATATTCTATGTTTGTGATAATAGTTGATCCATAAAAAAAGGATGAGAGACAGTTCAATCCCAGGCCATGTCACACCAAGAGACGTTAAGAACTTGCACTTGTTGCTATCAGTACACTGTGACGGACAGGGAGTGTCCATGTTAAACTTATATCTCAGGGGGCTGTAACTAACTATAAAACTGGCTTTAGTCTGGACTAATTCAAGCAGCCACACACACATACATGCCACCCACGAAGATTATAAGTGCAATAATCTTGGACGCCACCCCATTTCACCTCATTTCACTTTGTAAATGTGAAGTAAGCGTGTTAGATTTTGCGGAAGAATGTCCCCGTGGTCTCCAATGCTGGTGACACACTACAATTTCTCATTTCAGGAAGCTTTAGAAGAGTTAGAAGAACTGAAAATGATCATTCCTAAGGAATCTCTTGTTTATTTCCTTATTGGAAAGGTGAGTTGATATCAGACAAGCAAATAGAAGTTTGTCTTCACTGTTTAAATCAGTTGATGTCTGAAAACCTTTGAAGTTGAAAAGTTGTTACTTGATAATACAGTGAAACTCAGTCCTATGTTGGCACTTTTCTTGCATTGAATGTTAAATTTGGTAGATGCTTTGAGTTTACAAGGTTAACACGTAGATATGTTAATACTGTGCCTAGAGTACTTGGAAAATAGACAAATAGGGATGTGTGTTAAGACCGCAAACAAGTTAAATCTGTTTTCTGAGCTTGTGCAGTAGTGAAAAAGCTTAGTTCAAATTGTCAAGGAAACAAAAACTCTTGAGACAACAAGGTAATTCTGCTTGAAAACATGCTTGATGTATGATGCAGGTCCATAAAAAGTTAGGTAACACCCACCTGGCTTTGATGAACTTCTCCTGGGCCATGGACCTGGATCCCAAGGGTATCAACAATCAGATCAAGGAGGCCATTGATAAACTGTACGTCCCAGAGGAAGACGACCCACTCTCTCGCCTCAATGAAACAGGTATGTTGGGGTGTTCAGTAAGCAGGGAGACTGAATATGTCCTCTTGATATCAAACTTGTTCAGAAGCCTGACAAGATCAAGATTAGAATTGGTCTTCAGGAACCCATGCTTGTCGTAGGAGGTGACTAATGGGAACGGGTAGTCAGACTCGTTGACATGGTTGATACATGTCATCGTATCCCAATAGCCAGGGTATGAAACTCCCAAAAATTTCAGCCAGACCACAGGACTGGCTAGCTGAAATACTTGCCAGCCCTGACCAAAACCTGCCTGCCCACTATAATCATATGTTTCTCAGGATAATTTAATTGAAAATATGGAAACTGATTGCTTGTAGCATAAGCGCATCGCTAAATGTTAGGTTGTCTAAAAGCTAACGGGGTTTCTTTTTGGTTACATTTTATCATTCATCTTTACATGTGAATTATTGCTTATCATCGGGAAATATTTAGAATATTTTCACCTATGAAATATAACCCGACCGTCGGGCAGGAGGATTTGAAAATCTGGCAGTTGAAATCAACCCGTCTCGGTCGGTCGGGCAGGCAGGTATTTCGAACGCTGCAATAGCATAGATTATTTCTCATGATGTCAGTCACAGGATTGTCTGATCCAGACTTGATTATTTACTGACTGTTGTCATTTAGCTGGAATATTGCTGAGTGTTGCGTTAAACAAAAACAAACTTGTTCAAAGCGTTGATGAATGGGCAGATGAGGGTGATAAAGGCACTACACCACTGCACCACTGCAGAGATGGGTGCCCAACAGGGACAATCAACTAGCTATGTTGGTATCTGGGTCCAGTAGACACGATTATCTCCCTTGGTTGATACCCTACTTCCCAGACCCATTGCCTACAGGCTGGTGTGATATAGCTCAGTAGGCTGTGAGAGATATGAGTTGTCCACCGGTCGCTAGGGAGACATGGGTTAATTTGTCCGCTACGTTAGGTTAGATGTTCGGGCTCATGGGAACATAAACTAAGTGTATTGCAGGTTTGTCTCATGCATGCATGCTTTGGTCTGAGTTGGTAAGAATACCACTGTTACACATTTATCCACTTCGTCCTTGAAGATGATAAAAAAACAAACTCTGGGGAGTTATTCCCCTAGAGCTATTACATTCAGAAAGTATAATAAGCATCATGGAAAATGGCATCTTACATCCTAAATGCCAACAGTTCAGCAGTGGGAGTGAGGAAGATAAGAAATTACCTGACATGTTAACAGGGTACATTGAAAATAAAAGAAATGGTCTCAGGCAATCAGAATCCAACGTTCGTGTTTAAAGTAAACTAAAACCATAAAATATTCTTTCACTATTCCAGGCGTAGTGTACTATGGTCTGATATTATTTCCAGTTGTAGCATTGTTCCCCTAAATCCAGGTGTAAGATACAGTTGTCCTGGAACTGTTCTCAAGAGTAATGTACTATTCCCCTGGAGGAACTTGTTAGTGTGATACTATTCCCCTGGCACTGTTTCAGGTATGGAGGAAGGAGCAGGGCTGGAAGATGGCCAGGAAGGAGCCTCGCAGAGCACCTCGTCCAACATGGACCCTGATCTGCAGGCCATTGAGAGTGATGAAAGCTTATGACAGATGGATATAGAAAACTAGACACTATAGCTATTAGACACGACCACCAAAATTGGGTGGGAAGACTGTCTACTAGACACCACTACATAGGCTGGTCAAAAGGGCTGTCTGGTCAATAGTTATAGGGCTTTCCTCTTTCTCTCTCTACCTCTGCTAGGACTTCAGATAACAGGTCAAAGGAGGATCTTACAACACAAGGACAAAGGCAGAAATTTGTCTACCTCTGATGCTGCAGTTAATGGCAAATTTCTCAACTATATTTGTTAACCTTGAAGTGTATTTTTCAGAGACACTGAGACTGTATTCTTGTAATTTCATAAGATCTTATTTGAAGTAAGATGTGATGCTAGTTTCAGCTTTGAATGATGAAGAAGATGGATGTTGGTTAATCTCAAGCACCTGTTGGAGATAGTGGTCATTAGTGAGTTGGTATAGCCCTCATAATGTTTCTAGGATTGTCAGCACCATACCTGTGCTCATGGGGTTAGCCAAAGGGGTAAACGTCTGAGACCTGCGTCGCTTTGGACTTTGGGACACAGCACGATATAACTGGAATACTGTTAATAACAGCGTTAAACCCAACTCATACACTCACTCACTCACTTTCTACTAACCTTCAAATTTTAAGTGGATTCCATGTAAGGCTTAGTGATGTTTGGATGTTTGTTAATTTCAGATTAATCACGACAATTATTCAGTGGACACTTTAGAAAAGGGTAGTGACTGTTGGGTGTTAGTTTGTCTTGGATTATCACAAAAGCATGAAAGAGAATGCTAAGCTAATCACTGCAATTATTCAGAAGGATAGGCAGGATTAGATACAACACTGTACCACTAATCCAGACAGGTCGAAGTCTCTAAGGACCAGTTGTTTTCTCCAGAACAATGTTATGTTACATAAAGCGCAAGTACGAAATGAGATTTGGACAAGTTGGATTTTAAATAATAGAATCTACCCCTGGGATAGGAAGTGTTGAAAGAACTCTTTGATCAAGCTCCTGTTGAAGATAGAGGGGAGGCTGTCACGGCTAGGTGATCCCTGCGTGTAAGTGATCTGACATCAAGCACCTGTTGGAGAGGGGTAGGGGAGGCTGTCGCGGCTAGGTGGTCCCTGCGTGTAAGTGATCTGACATCAAGCACCTGTTGGAGAGAGGTGGGGGAGGCTGTCACGGCTAGGTGGTCCCTGTGTGTAAGTAATCTGAGATCAAGCACCTGTTGGAGAGAGGTGGGGGAGACTGTCACAGATAGGTGGTCCTGCATGCATGATTCTGTGTAAGTGATTTGTGAGCAACACCTCACTTTATGTTGTATGTTTCTATGAGTTTTACGAACAGTTTGCAATATGAAGGAGTCCAGTGTTATAAACCAAGAGGCTCATGTTGATGCAAGTTGTGCATTTGTGATACAAACTGCTGCAGGAAACAGACAAGCTGGCAACAACACAAGGCAACCAGTTATGTCGCAAAGTGCAAAAGGATTATTTTGTATTTACCTTGAACTATTCGGAATATTTTTATGCTTTTCAAGCTCTGATGAGTTATTTCATGGCAGTTCATGGTAGATATTTACTTCAAGGAAACCTGTTTAGAATGTTTAGTTAGTATTTATTGATAGCAAGTAGCTACAGGGTGTTTGGGTAGAATATTGGGGGTGTGTCTTGACAAACATGAAGAGTTGATGGAAGGATTGTGTCAACTCAGATGTCTTTGTGTTAATTAAGGGATGAGGCTGGTGTAAAGATCATTGTACGTTCAATCAACATCTGCCTATGCTAGATGCCCATGGCCCTGTTGACAAATGTGATCTTAGCTGCAACTATCATATTTTAAAGAATAAAGACAGGTGCTGAGATCCCTTTCTTTAACAGCCCTTGGGGCTGTTCCACAAAGGGATCTTAGCGCCCCGACTGCCATGACCATGTTGAAGTATTGGAGGTACGATCACCTTTGCACTAAATTCGCTTTATGCAGCCCGACGCTGAAGACAGTCCTCAGAGATCAGCATCTGCCCCAAAGGCCTGTCATTCTTCTCATGAGCCTTACAGCTGAATAAGACTACAAGAAAGAAGTCAATAGGTTCGGAGAGGTGGTTCTGGCAAACAAGAAATATTGTAATATGTTACACGTTGCACGGGTAGCTTCAATGTTGTGGATGTACTAATGGTGTGGAATGTGATTGAGTCTCAACCACAGCTTGAATCCCATTCACTGAATGAAACACAAAGCCTTCAAAGGTTGTTGTCATCTGTGATTTCAGACAATTTAGGTCCAAGACGACCAAGAGAATTGTCCAGAGCCTCACAGCTCGCATGCCATATATGCCATGATATGGATTATGTTAGTCCTTTTCCACCTGTTTTGTGAATGTTAGTGCATGGAACAAAGGGTTCTGGACTGTCCATGCTTCCTTGTGGGAGATACTCACTTTGCATTTAAGGGTGGATGAACACAACATGGAGTCACCTCTCCTTAAACCGTCATTATCTAATTTAAGTTATACAACTTGTTGGGAGAGATTTTTGTTTTTATTGATTTGTAATATTTTGTTAGTTTGTGTGAATATGATTTTGAGTATTGTCTACTGGAGTCTTTTTATACCTGAATGATTTCTACGTGGACAGCATCTTGACAAGTGTGACATTATGTGCTGAGTTGGTGGTGAGCTGGCTGCTGCTGCTGATCCTGCTGCTGTTCCTCAATACCCTGCTGTTCCTCATACACCCATATCCCCTCTGTGGGGATGTAAAGTGACAGCACATGAGCAGCCCTGGAGGTAGATAATACAAGTGGGCTTGTATGTACCTGATTTCATCTGTTTGCATTCTTGTTGTGTAATAGTGCTTCCTGGAAGTGACCAAAGACATATTTAAAATATTCGAGCTGTGTGTCCTTTAATAATATGCACTTGTGCAGGTGCATCCTGCAGCTAGGTTAGTCAGTATGCAGGGTACACAAGCTCCACTTCCCGTCATGTTTGCAGTGCACATCTTGCAGTCGACAAAGTTTGAATGATGTTCATCAAACCTGCCACCATACTTGGTGATGTTTGAGACCAGATTGAATTGGCATGAGATCAGGATCTTGCTGCAGTAGCAGCAGCAGCAGCAGCAGCAGCGATATGTGTTGAAACTGTACTGTGCAACTACAAGGTCTGTGTGCGAGAGAGGTTATGACAGTATTCAATATATTGTACAGAATACCAAACTCTGATGTTACCTAACATCATACATAATAAACATATAACAACATACTGAACTGGTTTGTTGGAACTTGCGTAAAATAGGTGGATGGTGAGCATCTTTAATGCTTCATCTGCTCAACATATTATTTTGTGAAAATGATATCACAACAACCTCCACGTTGCATTATTTGTGGAATTGTATGCCACCAACAGTTGCTTCTTGGTGTGAAGGAACATTGCATCCATGGAGGTGTCTCCATGTGATGTCAAGGGCAGATTCAAGTCCACGAAAGGAATCGCTGGCCAAATCTTGTAAGGAGTCTCAATACTCTCTGCAGAGTTGCATTCCATAATTGCTGGGTTTCTAGGTTTGTCAGCACCATGCTCGCGCTATGGTTATACCGAAGCGGTCAACGTCTTAAGACCTGCTTCACAGTGGTCATTATTTCTCAACATTTAACTGGAACGCCCTCATGTAAAAGAAGTCCTGTTTAATCTCACTCCATTAATGATATACTGAGGTTGACATAAATAAGATTTAATTGGGTTTCCGTTACAGGAATACACACTTGACCAAGGGGCAATAGGGTAGCCAGGCGTTAAAGCGTTCGCTCAAGCCGAAACACCAGTTCAATTATTATATACCGGTATTATTATTTAAAAACAGCTACCGACAATGACTGGAAACGGGATTATTCTATGAATACGTATTAGCTTCCGCTGTGATGTGCCCGCCAAACCAGCCGTTTCAATCAGAGGGGGTTTATTGTGATTTAAAAGCCTTTGACTGACCAATCAGAATCGAGTAATTTACAAATTCATGGTTGAATGTTCACTCACACACTCACTCACTCACAGCCAAGACTGAAAGCAGGCCTCATATACTCAAATAGAAGGTTAGATTAATTCACATGTACAAATCTGACACGTACAAATTTCAAGACCGCCTCCATGGTCTGGTGGGCACAGCGACAGACAGGAGAGAAGGTCTGTGGTCCGATACCCGACCGCGCCATACCAAAAGATTCTGAAAGATTGTACTTCTTACCCTGCTTGCCGCTTGGCAAGGACCCACACACCCATACACACACTTACACACACACGCCATATAAGTGCAATAATCTTGGATGCGACGTTAAACCCATTTCACCTCAGCTCACCGAGACCAACAGCTTTGAGATTCTGGTACGTACAATAGGTTGGTCTGATCGTGAGACAGCCAACAGTCTCGTGGTCACACAAGGCTAGTAAAATCACCATCGAAATTGTCCATTCGACATTTCAATGAAACGAAATTCAGATCAAAACGAAGATGAGTGCTCCCGGTTCAAGCATGAGAGAGTGGTTATTTATGAACGGCAACGTCCGAGTCAGCCATAGTATACTGCTAAATGTTTCATAGGGATACTGCTACGGTGTATACAATTTACATGCACATAACATCGCACAGTTTGGTGTTTCATGTAATTGTAGGAAAATATCTCGCAGAAATTGAATAGTACGTGATTCGCGAAGAACAGATATATTGTCATCTTGGTAAGGCCACGCCAATGTCAGGATATGTTCTCAGCCTTATAAATGCTTTACTATGACTAGTCCAGAGGACTAGTGTGAACCCTATTACCATGGTCCCAGTTCTGCTGGGAGATGACAGACATGCTGCTATGTTTTCTGTCAGTGTTATTCAGTTGCGGACGAATGTTGTATGCTGTGTTCTTCCACCTTCTGCAGCTATAGGAGGAGAAAGGGTATTCACAACATCAACGCCAGAAAATAATCAGCCATGAGTGACTGATGGACTGATTCCATTGGGCGCAAAAGGCAAAATAGTGATGAAAAGTTTAAATGAGTGACTGAGTGATTTGGGTTTAACGCCGCTTTTAACAATATTCCAGTTATATCACGGCGTGTCAGCTTAATGTGGGAGGAAAGCCCGAAGTGATGCAGGTCTCGGACGTTTAACACTTCGATGGAACCCACGAGCACGGGTATGGTGCTAACAAACCTAGAAACATAATTTGGGCGAACCGAGACTCGAACCCACAATCATAGGTTGCTGGCGTGCCCAAGGGACGCAACTCTACACAGCGAATCGCGCCGCCCTAGACGACTGGGCCTCCCGTGCCCCCATATTAACTAAGACTCGGTTGATATTTCCCATATTAAAATAACACACGTGATGAATCTAGCGTCGCATTTTAATGCTTTTTGTTGTGTACAACTTTTAAATTATTTTTTGCTTTTCGAAATGCCAGCTTACTTTCCCCCATCTCTTCAAACTGTGGTGGTAATATGATAGATTTAACAAGACGCATCAATAAATCTCGTCACACATAGACCAAACGAAAGTATATTTTATTAAAAAAATAAATCGTATGTTTGTTAGTTATTTACAATCAGAGACATGGATATGGTGACAACGAGTCTCTTACCTAGGAGTGAGTGAGTGAGTGTGTTAGTGTGTGTGTGTGTGTCTATATATACATCTCCCATCGTAGTGAATGTGGAATATTAACATAAACCATTAATTAGAACGTTAAGACGAGTCAAACCCAGGAATCTTTTATCTTAATACAACCAAGCAACATTCCTGAGCGTCTTCGTCTTCCAGACAGACCTAGAAACCAAAATATCTATTTAAAAAATCACAAGCACATCTACATTACTTTGTTAAGTCTAAAAGCTAAAAGAAAGTTTTGTGACATTCTTTGCTAGCAGGATAAATCAAATGCTTTAAGAAAAAGGCTATGAAACACGTGGATATGTACAGTGTGCTTCGTTCCTTTAAGATCTTGCCTTCAATTTGGGGAAAGAGCTGTAAAATAGTTTCAAATAATCCTCAAAGCAATTTGGTAGCTTCTGTGTTTTAAAATGTCTGTACCCGACCGATCACCCAGACAACTTTGTAGCAGAATGAAGTATTCGTCGTTATTTCACCATGACACCTCTGTTACATTGCGTGGATCGATGCTCATGATGTCAGTCACTGGATTGTCTGGTCCAGACTCGAGTATTTACAGACCGCCATCATATAGCTGGAATACTGCTAGTGCGGCGTTAACCAACAAACAACAAACAAACATAATGTATGAAATCACTGAATTATTCGTTGGCTTAAAAAACATAGTTGTATAATTTACTGAGGACTAGTGAGTGAGTGAGTATGGTTCTACGCCGCTTTTAGCACTATTCCAGCAATATCACGGCGGGGGACACCAGACATGGGCTTCACACATTGTACCCATGTCGGGAATCGAACCCGGGTCTTCGGCGTGACGAGTTAACGCTTTAACCACTGGGCTACCCGACCGCCCCTACTGAGGACTAAACTGTTTGAACGTTGTAGTTTATATTTATGTTATAATTCAAGGAATGTCACGGGATAACCTTCCAATAAGTGTGAACAGACAGCATCACTGAGAGAGTAATTCAACGAATATGTTGATGTTGCTTGTCCATTAATCCTGCGAGATGCAAAGGAACTCGTGAGATCTTGATTCAAGTCTTGAATCAAGTGCCATGTTGGAGATGTACATCTATACACACATATAAATCGTGTCTCTTGTTTTGATGACACGCCTGGAAACCGCTACAGTCTCTAATGAAGAAAGATCCTGCTCACTATGTGAGATAGTCCAGAGAAAAGCAATATGGCTGCCAGTGATGTCACGTGATGAGTAGCGCTGCAAAACGATGGGGCGAAATAGTCCATGGCTCGACTGTGAATGTCGACATCAGTTTGACCACATTCCGCCAGAGAACTGACCACACACTGACGTGCGTATTCAAAAGTCCTGAAATCAAGATGGATACATCAGTAGTTTTTTCGGGATGATGGTAAAACGTGTTGAAATCAAGGTCGTTGAAATCTGAATGGCGGCTAATTGTGCACTGACATTAAACCTATTGGTTTGTACGAAATGCATATTCCTGAGATTACGTACGGATGTCGGAAATAGGAACGGTCAGAACGGAACATTTCATGATTTTTAAATTAGATAATTTACCGTACCAAAATATTCAGAACGGTTGAGACAAGATCTCAGAGAACTTGCTTATCCTGTGAAGTCTCCAATCCTTGTGTCACCTATAACGTTGCCTGCCATTCTCACCCCTATCTAACATCTATCTGCTTGTCCTCGATGACATAAGTCCTTTATCACTTCCGGTCCTCCAATGTCCACTGCACTGACAACCACAAATGTCCTCTGTCCTAGTGTAGAAGTTGTAGTTCTTTGGCAAACCCAATATTTTTTCGCAGGTACTTGTCATTTTACTTTAGCACTACCCCTTCTCTGTACACCCCCCGGCATTATTGCCACATCTAATGTAGTAGTTACCTTGTCATAGATGCTCTATATAATAACAAGTGGTTTTGAGATGGCCACTGACCTGCACATCCGGTCCTGCACGTAGAACTCCTCGTTTTCCGTGTAGCTTGTCTGGTCTTTGCGCTTGACGCATCCGATCACCTGACTCAACCTCCCCGTCTCGCACTGGGCATCAAGACCTGGAGAAGAAAGAACGCAGGATTTTATCAGGGGGCATTGGAGCTTAATGGGCCGCCCATTTGATATTCTCTAGGGGTGGGTGGTTGGGCGATTTATCGAAAAAAATACATTGCCCCCGAAAATTCTTCATAAAAATAAAAATAAATAAAAATAAGAATGTTTCAGACTGTTGAAATCAATGAAAGTGCCTGCCACAAAAATAACATTGTTGCAATGTGTTTTTCATTAAACAATCCAGGCTTATATATTTAAAATATATCTCAGGAATGTTGCTTAGTTGTATTAAGATAAAGAATCCTGGGTTTGACTCGTCTTAACGTTCTAAGTGATGGTTCATGTTAATATTCCACATTCACTACGGGGGGAGATCTGTAGCTGAATAATATGTAATCTCGATATCAAATGTAGAGATTGTTAGAGAACACCAGAGTGATACATTCATCCGATGTGCTGATAGTAGGATGATGGAAATCAGTGAGAGTATCCTATCGGTATTTGGCAAGCAGATAAAACGCAAGTCAGATAGAAAAAGGCCTCTGATCGCCTTCGTTTCGCGCTTATATAGGTACATTCAGCCTTCTTGAAACCGTCCAAACCCGAAGCTACACGAACGGTGAAGCCTGTGGTGTTTGTAAACAATCAGGGGCGGATACCTTCAAATTCCACTCTCTGTCACCGACAGTGCTTGAAATTGTACTGGCCCTTTACTCATATGCTGACAATTATTACTACAAAATATAAAACCTAACAACAGGTAAAGGGATTACTCAGTAAAAGTAAAGAGGAGGGGTTGGGGGCTCAGTAAAGGTAAAGGGGTACTATGTACAGGTAAATGGGTACTCTGCAAATGTAAAGGGGTACATAGTACAGGCAAAGTGTGTACTCAGTAAAAGTAAAGGGGAGGGGTGGGGGCTCAGTAAAGGTAAAGGGGTACTATGTACAGGTAAATGGGTACTCTGCAAATGTAAAGGGGTACATAGTACAGGCAAAGTGTGTACTCAGTAAAAGTAAAGGGGAGGGGTGGGGGCTCAGTAAAGGTAAAGTGGGTTCTAAGTACAGGTAAAGGGTTACTCAGTACAGGTAAAGGGGTACTTACTGGACAGGTAAAGGGGTACTTACTGGACAGGTAAAGTGGGTACTCAGTACAGCTAGGTATATGGGTACTCACTGGACAGGTAAAGGGGTACTTACTGGACAGTGAAAGGGGTACGCAGTACAGGTAAAGGGGTACTCAGTACACGTAAAGGGGTATTTACTGGACAGGTAAAGGGGTACTTACTGGACAGGTGGTCACAAATGTACTCCATGCCCTCCTTGATCCTGGACAGGTAAGGCAGGAAGGAGCGGTAGGCTGGCTGGACACACTCGGTCATCACGGCGTAGCGACATTCCACCTGTGAAGCCCGCTGCAGCCGCTGCCTGCAAAGACACCGGAGTTGTTACATGCACGACAATCCTCTGTAGGACTTAAGTTATTGTTGGTTTGAATGTGTGAATGGCAGTGTTTCAGCACACTGGGTCAGTGGTCGCAAGAAACATGTAACAGATCACCCCTTTTTGGTTCTTGTTTTGTCAAAAGATAGGATCGGTAAAATAATAAGATAAATAATCGAAAATCGGTTCCTCATTTGGTATTTTGTTAAAGTGAGAGGAATGTTAATTTGTTTATAGCGTTTACATGGGTAGAAATACTGCTTAGATACCGATGGCGCTGTGGTCTGATTCGTTGTTGCTACATCTCAAGCTTGGCGCTAACATATACGGGTCGTGTATCACTCGTCTTGATCACGCAGTGAAACAATTCCTCCTCTCAACTTTGCTGGTACACGTCCTTCTCTTGACGTTATTGGAACATACGTATCCGTCTGTCAACAGTAGCGGTAAATCAATCCATAAATGGGACTTCTGTAAGCCTATGTTAAAGTATGTGACTTCTGTAAGCCTATGTTAAAGTATGGGGCTTCTATTAGTCTATGTTAAAGTATGGGGCTTCAGTAAGTCTATGTTAAAGTATGGGGCTTCTGTAAGTCTATGTTAAAGTATGGGGCTTCTGTAAGCCTATGTTAATGTATGGGCTTCTGTAAGCCTATGTTAAAGTATGGGGCTTCTGTAAGCCTATGTTAAAGTATGGGGCTTCTGTAAGTCTATGTTAAAGTATGGGACTTCTGTAAGTCTATGTTAAAGTAAGGGGCTTCTGTAAGCCTATGTTAATGTATGGGGCCTCTGTAAGCCTATGTTAATGTATGGGGCTTCTGTAAGCCTATGTTAAAGTATGGGGCTTCTGTAAGCCTATGTCAAAGTATGGGGCTTCTATTAGTCAATGTTCTAATATCGGTCGCTGTTTTGGACCCTAGACATGTACACAAGATGCGGAGGATGAACATACTGGCTGAGGCACTTGATCTCATCCACCTGCACGAAGAGCTGCTGGTAGTCGACTCCAGTGCTGGACACCAGGCTCTGCATCCCCGCCACGCCGTCGCCGACCAGAGACGGCGGAAGGAAGACGCTGACGGGCTGTTCGTAGCGCCGGGTACAGGTGTCCAGCTTGATCTTCAGATGCGGGAGGTCACACGTCACCTTGTCGAACAGGTTGAAGGCCTGGCTTGGCAGCAGTGCTGGAAGAGGAGTGTATTCATCATCCTGGCTCCCACAGGAGATATCGCTAGGGTGCTACCATTACATACTCTCGACACCCAGGCCTTTGTCTAACACATACCATTCTATACCCTTGACATCCTGGTCTATATGTCCCACACATACCCCGGTAAACCCTTGACACCCAAGTCTACATGTATCACACATACCCTTACATACTCTCCGCACCCTGGCCTATATGTCTCACACATACCCCGGTATACCCTTGACACCCTGGTCTATGTCTCACACATACCCCGGTAAACCCTTGACACCCTGGTCTATGTCTCACACATACCCCGGTATACCCTTGAAACCCTGGTCTATGTCTCACACATACCCCGGTATACCCTTGACACGTTGGTCTATGTCTCACACATACCCAGGTATACCCTTGACACCCTGGTCTATGTCTCACACATACCCCGGTATACCCTTAACACCCTGGTCTATATGTCTCACACATACCCCGGTATACCCTTGACACACTGGTCTATATGTCTCACACATACCCCGGTATACCCCTGACACACTGGTCTATATGTCTCACACATACTCCGGTATACCCTTGACACCCTGGTCTATGTCTCACACATACCCCGGTATACCCTTGACTACCAGGTCTATGTCTCACACATACCCCGGCATACCCTTCACACCAAGGTCTATGTCTCACACATACCCCGGTATACCCTTGACACCCTGGTCTATGTCTCACACATACCCCGGTATACCCTTGACACCCTGGTCTATGTCTCACACATACCCCGGTATACCCTTTAGACCCTGGTCTATGTCTCACACATAACCCGGTATACCCTTGACACCCTGGTCTATATGTCTCACACATACCCCAGTATACCCTTGGGACCCTGGTCTATATGTCTCACACATACCCCGGTATACCCTTGAGACCCAGGTCTATGTCTCACACATATCCCGGTATACCCCTGACACACTGGTCTATATGTCTCACACATACCCCGGTATACCCTTGACACCCTGGTCTATATGTCTCACACATACCCCGGTATACCCTTGAGACCCAGGTCTATGTCTCACACATACCCCGGTATACCCCTGACACACTGGTCTATATGTCTCACACATACCCCAGTATACCCTTGACACCCAGGTCTATATGTATCACACATACCCCAGTATACCCTTGACACCCTGGTCTACATGTCTCACACATACCCCGGTATACCCCTGACACACTGGTCTATATGTCTCACACATAACCCGGTATACCCCTGACACACTGGTGAATATGTCCCGGGTGTTTTCATAACTTTCCCAGGGGAATTCGAAGAACTTAAAGGAACGTTAAGGAAGCTACCCAGCGATGCGCAGAGGCTGGGAGACCTAAAGTGACACGTGACCTAAAAACCTTTCTGCATAACACATCCATGTTCTAAGTAAGACTTTGAACAAAACACGAGCATGTAAGACTCGTTTGGCGATTAAGCAGTGCTCACAAGCGCTTGATTGTCTGATTATTTCATTGTTTTAATTTAATGTTTGAAATTAATGCCGTAGACGCTTATAAAACAAGATGTAAATACCATAAAGCAAACTTATGATTTATTAGAGGAACTACGGCAGTAGTTGCTTCTAGCGTATTCTGGCTGAGCAACGCTGGTATGTCCTGATAACACTGACAGATTTAAATTTGAACATGACTGCTATTCAGCCATCAGCCACTTTGTTCCAGGGGTATATATTTATATAGATGGGTGCTGCCTCTTTTATCAGGAGTGTTTTTTAAAAACAAACATGTATGAACGCGACAAAAATCAATGAAGAAATGAATAACAGTACTGTTACAAAATGATCATAAACATATATATCGACGTTATTTGCCGGTATCAACCTAAACAGTTACTCTAAACACCAGCACCCCGATGTCCGGTAGTTGTTACCTACCTGTACACACGACAAACAGGGAAATATATCCCACAACGACCATTGTGTTGGGCAATTTGTTCCCCGATAACCTGACACTCGTGTTCAAGTAGGCACTGAGTACATCGATTACGTCATATATGACACAGCGAGACTGTGGCTGGTCAACGGTCCGGCTGCATGTATCCGGGATTTAGGAATCGATGTGCGCATTATAAGTCTGATTAGGCGTGTTATCTACCTGGTCAACAAACAATCCCTATTATATGAATCGTTGTCTTATCAGCAGTCACGTGACCAAACTACAAGAGTTATGTGCCCTTTGGTCGTTATTTTGCTGTAAAGCTAATATATCCTTACAAAATACACTCTTCGTAACTGTTTTAGTTTATAGGGTGAATATTCACAGCACCGGTTTATCTATACACTTTCCAAAAACAGAAACGCACAGGTAGATGTTTAGTACATTTATTGTACTTAATAAAGTCGATATATTTCATTTAAAATCATAGATACAAACATGAATTTTTTAATCGATAGTCACATGTTGTCGTTGTACAAAGGCATTAAAAACTGTTCATTGTCACGTCACATAAGGCCACAAAGTTGCGCTGAACTCAGTATCTCGTGTGACCGCTCCGGGCAGCAATCACGGCTCTGCATCTCCTCGGCACTGACTGGATAAGTGTTCGAATTCTGTCCTGCGGAATTCTGCGCCATTCTACTTGTAACGCGTTGGCCAGTTGTGGGAGTGTCTGTGGCGTGTTCTGACGTTGACGTACACGTCGATCGAGTTTATACCAGAGGTGTTCGATTGGGTTGAGATCTGGAAGTCTCGACGGTCAGGACAAGTCGTTGATGTTGGCATTATGGAAGTAGTCTACCGTGGCACGAGATGTGTGCGGTGGAGCGTTGTCCTGTTGAAACAGCTCCCTCTGGCGGTCAATGATTGGAAGAAGGTACGGTTGAAGAATTAGATTCATGTAGTGATTTGTCACATTTCCCTGAACGACAACCAAGTGAGATCTCGTGGTGTAGCATCTGACACTACCGCCACCGAATTTGTCGAATTCACGTACACAATGTGGGGCAAAACGCTCATTTCGACGACGATAAACACGTTGTCTTCCATCCCGCCGGTGAAGGAGAATCGTGATTCATCGCTAAACCACACTCGTCTCCAATTTCTCAAATTCCAAGGCTGTAAGGTATGGCACCAACGGATTCCAGTCTCGCGAAGATGGTTCCTGACAGTCTGGTCCGATATCGTAATCAAACGAGGGATGCGTCCTGCAGTCCCCGTAGCTGTTGCATTGCGATCACGTAGGTGGAACAGTCGAATGTAGCGATCCTGTGCAGGGGTGGTAACTCTTGGTCGGACGGTCCGCAGTGGAATTGAACTGTGTGTATCGGTCACAAGGGCGGCAAATGTTGCTATGGTGGACGTTGAAATGGCGTGCAACAGAAGAGCCGATTCCCCTCTTTGGATACGATGTTCCGTTTCGGCATTTATGAACATGAAAAATGTTGACACTTGAATGACAAATTATTGGCTTATGCTTGCCTTTTTTAGCCACTACCACGAGTTACGAATGCCATAACTTGCACGTGCATTTTGCTTTACTGTTTTCCTCCTTGACATTTTTGAACAAGTGTGAAAACAATGCCGTTTAAGACATTGCAAATCGACAATGGCTGCGTTTTGACGCACCTTTTGTCGAATATCAGGCCACCAACATTTTCCAATAACATATATCCAATTTATATACCGGAATTTTTGTTCTACCTGTGCGTTTCTTTTTGTGAAGAGTGTACTTGCGTGTGCAGTAATATATCGTTACCATTCACTTGTGTAAGCACCAGTATACTTGCGTAGGCAGTAATATAATGTGTAGGCATACTTTTGTAGGCAGCCATATAACACTGCTATATACTCGTGTTGTCAGTAATATAACGTTACTATATACTTGCGTAGGCAGTAATATATCGTTACCATTCACTTGTGTAAGCACCATTATACTTGCGTAGGCAGTAATATAATGTGTAGGCATACTTTTGTAGGCAGCCATATAACACTGCTATATACTCGTGTTGTCAGTAATATAACGTTACTATATACTTGCGTGTGCAGTAATATATCGTTACCATTCACTTGTGTAAGCACCATTATACTTGCGTAGGCAGTAATATAATGTGTAGGCATACTTTTGTAGGCAGCCATATAACACTGCTATATACTCGTGTTGTCAGTAATATAACGTTACTATATACTTGCGTGTGCAGTAATATATCGTTACCATTCACTTGTGTAAGCACCAGTATACTTGCGTAGGCAGTAATATAATGTGTAGGCATACTTTTGTAGGCAGCCATATAACACTGCTATATACTCGTGTTGTCAGTAATATAACGTTACTATATACTTGCGTAGGCAGTAATATATCGTTACCATTCACTTGTGTAAGCACCATTATACTTGCGTAGGCAGTAATATAATGTGTAGGCATACTTGTGTAGGCAGCCATATAACACTGCTATATACTCGTGTTGGCAGTAATATAACGTTACCATACACTTGTGTAGGCAGTAATATAACGTTACTATGAACTTGTGTGGGCAGTTATATAACGTTACAATATACTTGTGTTGGCAGAAATATAACGTTACTTTATACTCGTGTGGGCAGTAATATAACATTACTATATACTTGTGTAGGCAGTAATAAAACGTTACTTTGAACTTGTGTGGGCAGTTATATAACGTTACAATATACTTGTGTTGGCAGAAATATAACGTTACTTTATACTCGTGTGGGCAGTTATATAACATTACTATATACTTGTGTAGGCAGTAATAAAACGTTACTATGAACTTGTGTGGGCAAGTATATAACGTTACAATATACTTGTGTTGGCAGAAATATAACGTTACTATATACTTGTGTTGGCAGTAATATAACGTTACTGTATACTTGTGTAGGCAGTAATATAACATTACTATATACTTGTGTAGGCAGTAATATAACGTTACCATACACTTGTGTAGGCAGTAATATAACGTTACTATGAACTTGTGTGGGCAGTTATATAACGTTACAATATACTTGTGTTGGCAGAAATATAACGTTACTTTATACTCGTGTGGGCAGTTATATAACATTACTATATACTTGTGTAGGCAGTAATAAAACGTTACTTTGAACTTGTGTGGGCAGTTATATAACGTTACAATATACTTGTGTTGGCAGAAATATAACGTTACTTTATACTCGTGTAGGCAGTAATATAACGTTACTATATACTTGTGCAGGCAGTAATATAACCTTACTGTATACTTGTGTGGGCAGTAATTTCAACCCTCTTCCAGTGATCTTTACACGGAAATAGCGTGTGGTGAAGCAGACTTGTACGTGACACCAGAGGTCGTGCATCTTTGCCGTATCACACAGGTCATATGTGACATTTTACAGCCCCCAGCATTCATATATTGATCAATCTTGTACGAGAATGTACATTTTTTCGATGTGACATATCTCACCTTTCTATAGTCTACCGAGGAGAGATCATTTCTTTCGGTCGATCATGGCGTTCATCGACACTGTATCACTTTGGCAAAATATCGTTGTAGCTTCTCTGCTTCCTCTTTCTCAGACTTTCTGTCATGTTCTCCCACAGTTCACTTGAATAAGGAGATATTACTCGTTATCATATATACTCACCGCCAAAAGAAATGCGAACCATAGAAACATATAGAGAAGTATGTACGTTAAGAAGAGATGTTTCCAACGTGTGTCACTTAATGACAAGGCTGAGAATCAGTCAAGTGTTACCAAAGAAAGTCTTTATTCTTATCACGACATGCTGCTCGTGATTTTCAAACTTTGGGGTTTGAGAGAATTGCTACTTCTCCTTGTCTTGTTGCATACAGCACGCGTCTTCCTTCTGGTGTTGACTGTGGCTATATGGGAGCCAGCATAGACTGTGCTACTTTTTACACAAATTGTTGTGTCACATATTGTGAAAGTCATATCCTCCAGGGACTGCCTATATGTGAAAAGATTAACACACATCTCTTTTGAAGTTAGAAGTTAAGTGCCATTTTCGTGCATAGTCCTGGACAATGTCAAAAGAACTTTGTAGTCCACTCCTATGGTTGCTAGCCAGGGTTGTGTCATCAGCCATGAGTATCGCTGGTGTTCTGCAGCGTCCCATCTGTAGCCCGCAATAATGTTTGTCAAGTTCATTGAGGAGGTCACTGATATTGAATATGCCAAGATGAAAGTTTTTTCTATTGATTAGGTTTATGATGTTAATTTGTTCAGGAGCTCTCATGCTTCTCTGTGGTCCAGAGGATATAGATGTAGACTTGAATTCCAGTCAGGTTGCTGGTTGTGAGGTCAAACCCAGGATTCAGCAATGAGTTTTTTGTATAATCTGAAATGTATATTGAAGCCTCAGTTTCACTTCTTCCTGTCATGTGATCAGGTGTGACCACACAATCTCCCTGCATTAGATGTACACGTGCTATGTGATCCTCCATGTTGTCTGTCGATTGTCACAGTCTGAATGAAAGTATGTTGGAGCACAAATGTAAGGTTTTTTTTTGCATTTCTGACATTTTGTGATGATAGGTAAATGCATTTATATGCTATTGTACTTCTTGAGTTGAAAAAGTGAATTAATGCATATATTTTAAGAAATGTCAAAACATGTTTATATAGAAAATTAAGGTCTAAATGTCACAAACTAAATTTCTTTTACTTTGTATTGTAGTTTTCTAAACCTCGTCACCTCGTCACCTCGTCACTTCGTCACTGGAGGCATCATTTCAACATTAACAGTTCGTGATACAAACGAAACGTTCAGTGTGAAACGTTTAACGATATGACACTGACAATAAATTCCCTGTGTCGCGACCGTTTCAGAGTTGTTGTGTTCTTGCGTCTGCAGATATGTACAGTGAGCATCCATGCTTAGAGATCACCACCTTGACCAACACCCTGTCTATCTGGGGAGACTTGACTGGTATTGCCGGCATATCTGACATAGGCCGTAGAATCTTTGTATGACTGTCTGATTATATGCCAGTGCACAGCACCATAACGTTACAATGCACTTGTGTATGCAGTAATTTGTGGTACCGAGGGTGTTATATCAGGAGATTCAGTCAAAAACTCGTACTTTTTTCCCAATTGATGTAAAAATATCAAGTACAAGATTGAATTGTTCTGTATTTATTCATAGGCTTTCCTCAAGAATGTGGAAGTAGAGTGTCGTCATTTACGTCATGTTTAGAATACCAGACATTCATTTGTTAATAAATGTCAGTATAACGGTCATGTGACCGGCCTTTTGTCCAATGGAAAATCCATATCTGTGTAAACTTCACATCAACACATAGTTCCTTACTCAGTGTTTTTCATGTGTTGTACCTGTGCGATGAATGTATATTATTATTCTATTATCCCAGCACTGAATAAACTGGCTTTTTGTGACTTTTCTAAGTACAACACTATGATACAGCTCACACTACATCAGCACATTGAATGCCAGGTGCTTGTAAGGCAACACTGATGCTAGACTCACACCATAGGAATATATAATGTACACGATAATGACGTTAATTTTTTTATTTACAATGTACAGCCGTAGAAAAAAAATAGTGATCTGTGAGTATAATTGCAAACATCCATACATGAGGGAGGGGTGTGTGTCATAAGGGGTCACGTGACGTGGAGGGAATAAAACAACACAAATCACGTGACTGTCGAAACATAGATGACATATCTGAACATATTTCAATGGTAGAAACAGTTTGGTCAAGTCCACTTTATACGGGTGGACAAGTGTTTAGCTGGGGACCGACCATCTGCTATTCTGGGGGCCTAGGAGATTATCCGGAGATTAGTCATGTTTCAGCTACTGCTGCGAAACCAGATATTTGATTAATGAAAACGGCGAGCTCGAAAACCTCGTTAAAGATAAACACCTGCAACAATGTCATGTTTGTGGGAGATAGCCCCCTTGATGGTATGTTGTAATTAGCTGATAATGTGATGTTAGTTGCTGATGATATGATGTTAGTTGCTGATGATATGATGTCAGAAGATGATGGTAAGATGTTAGAAGCTGATGGTATGATGTTTGTAGCTGATAGTATGATGTTAGTTGCTGATGATATGATGTTAGTAGCTGATGTTATGATGTCAGAAGTTGATGGTGTGATGTTATAAGCTGGTGGTATGATGTTAGTAGCTGATGGTATTATGTAAGTAGCTGATGGTATGATGTTAGTAGCTGATGGTATGATGTTAGTAGCTGATGTTATGATGTCAGAAGTTGATGGTGTGATGTTATAAGCTGGTGGTATGATGTTAGTAGCTGATGGTATTATGTAAGTAGCTGATGGTATGATGTTAGTAGCTGATGGTATGATGTTAGTAGCTGATGTTATGATGTCAGAAGTTGATGGTGTGATGTTATAAGCTGGTGGTATGATGTTAGAAGCTGATGGTATGATGTTTGTAGCTGATAGTATGATGTTAGTTGCTGATGATATGATGTTAGAAGCCGATGGTGTGATGTTAGAAGTTGATGATGTGATGTTAGTAGCTGATGGTATGATGTTAGTAGCTGATGGTATGATGTTAGTAGTTGATGTTGCGATATCAGAAATTGATGGTATTATGTTAGAAGTTGATGGTGTGATGTTAGTAGCTGATGGTATGATGTTAGCAGCTGATGTTATGATGTTAGTAGCTGATGGTATTATGTTAGAAGTTGATTGTGTAATGTTAGTAGCGGATGGTATGATGTTAGTAGCTAATGGTATGATGTTAGTAGCTGATGTTATGATATTAGTAGCCATTGGTATGATGTTGGAAGTTCATGGAGTGATGTTAGTTGCTGACAGTGTGTGGTTCGGTACCTTAGGGTCGAGGGTCACATCATATTTAAAGTTTATTGCCGAAATGCCGAAATGATACTACTTCAATAAACTGCGAAGCAGTGTAATCCATAGGTTCTAGAGGTATCATGTGCAGGTGTGGAAATCACCCGAGATAATGCGAAGCCACTATACAAGCCGTACATGTCTCCATCCTCCCATTCAATCGTTATTTAATATTAACTGTACATCATCTACTCGCATAATCCACAGAATGCGCAACACTTCTTTGTAAAGGTCTCATGTTGTGTATCATACAGATCTTACAACAACACGTCGAACAACGTCTTACACATTGTCATTGCAAGCGTTAGCATCACAGCGGTGACCTTGACCGCTCCACTACAGACACGTGGTTTGAGATAGGTCATGGCCTCCCTGTAGATCTTGAGCGGAGTGGACCCACACGGTCGGAACGTTGTGGCAACACACGTTGAGGCGTAGGAATACAAGCTGTAAACAAACCAGAACATTACAGGAATTATCTGATCATCTAGATGCAAACAGCTCTTTACAAACAAACCATGATTTGAAGTATTTAGTAAATCAAGAAATACAGTAACATGTTTGATTTTTGGTTTGTTTGAAGGTTTGTGCCTTCTTCCGCCTGTCGTACATCTCCGGACATCTCCGGACATCCCCGGACAACTCCGTAAGTCAATCAGTTGGCATCGAACAACACACGGACATAAAAGAACAAAACATCCCGTTACCTCGAGTTATATGTTGTGTTGAAAACTAATTCAAATCAATTACAAACTGTATTTAAGAAACCTATATTAAATAGTTCATTGTTAAAGAAAGAATAACTAAATATTCCCTGTCCGTCAATATAACTGGAGGGTAAGGAAACAGACGTTTATATTTTTCATCGTCCTTTTTCGTGGATTACGTGTGTTTTTTTAACAGTGCGAGTATATTACCTGAAAGAACGACGTCACTGGGACTATCTTAGCTGAGAGTTTGACGTCACTGGAACTATCTTAGCTGAGTTTATAACGTCACTGCGACTTTATTACCTGACTGTATAACCCCACTGCGACTTTATTACCTGAGTGTATGACGTCACTGGAACTGTCTTAGCTGAGTGCATGACGTCACTGGGACTATCTTAGCTGAGTGCATGACGTCACTGGGACTATCTTAGCTGAGTGCATGACGTCACTGGGACTATCTTAGCTGAGTGCATGACCTTACTGGGACTATCTTAGTTACTATGACAGCAGGATGTGTGTATAACGTGGCTGGGACTCGGGGAATGGCGTTACTGGAACTGTCTGGAGTGTGACTGTGTACTGACTTGCACGTGTTCTCCGTGATAGATGAGTCCGCGATCTGGGCCGGGTTATCATAGCCCCGGTGCAACAGACACTCGCCCATGTTAAGCATGTAGTCCCTCAGACACTGGTCGTTCATCTCTGCAACATCCCAGAAACATCACAGTAACATCACAGTAACATCTAGATAACAGCGCCCGACCTATATCAGATCACAGCAACATCTCAGCAACAGCAACCCGGTGTAGTAGGCTCAAACGACTCCCCCAAAATTTGACTCAAGAGTCATATAGGCCCAGGCTAACATAACTCCCCTAGCCAGGCTCAAAACACTCACTCAGGCCCAAATGACTCCCCTTGTTTTGAATTAAAATGATTGCAGAAAAGATCAAACATATCTTGTATTATAAAGGTTTTCAACCCCTCTTCCTAGTTTTCTATTCTGAAATATCAGGTTAAGAACAATCCCCAATATTGTGTGCCAGATGTTTTAGTACCAGTTATTTTATTAAGTTTATATTTAACTTTAATTGGGAAAACTCCAGATGCCTCTCTTAAGTCACTATACTTTTCTTAACCTATAATTTATTTTCAGAATACTCCCTGTTTCCTACATCCAATTCTTGAGTATCAGGCTCAACTTACTCCCCCTATTCTATATCCGATTCTTGAGTATCAGGCTCAAACTACTCCCCCTATTCTATATCCGATTCCTGAGTATCAGGCTCACACTACTCCCCCTATTCTATATCCGATTCTTGAGTATCAGGCTCAAACTACTCCCCCTATTCTATATCCGATTCCTGAGTATCAGGCTCAAACTACTCCCCCTATTCTATATCCGATTCTTGAGTATCAGGCTCAAACTACTCCCCCTATTCTATATCCGATTCCTGAGTATCAGGCTCACACTACTCCCCCTATTCTACATCCGATTCTTTGATATCAGGCTCACACTACTCCCCCTATTCTATATCCGATTCTATAATATCAGGCTCACACTACTCCCCCTATTCTATATCCGATTCTATAATATCAGGCTCACACTACTCCCTCTGTTCTATATCCGGGAATAGGCTAGGGTCTAGAGTCATCTGAGCCTGGGGAGCCTCCTACACCGGCTGCATCCACCAACACGACTCTCACTACATCTTGATAGGAAATGGCACATTAAATTACATTGATATTACTTGATATATCAAGATTATTTATAAAATGTTCAAAAATCAACATTGAATCGAGGTACAAACAAACAACTCAGTAACCTAATGAGTGAGTGAGTTATGTTTAACGCCGCTTTCAACAGTATTCCAGTTATATCACGGCATGTCAGCTTAATGTGGGAGGAAAGCCCGAAGTGATGCAGGTCTTAGACGTTTACCACTTCGATGAAACCCTCGAGCACGGGTATGGTGCTGACAAACCTAATAAAATCGGGACGAACCGGGATTCGAACCCACAATCATAGGTTTCTGGCGTACCCAAGGGACGTAACTCTGCACAGCGAATTGCGGCGCCTTATACGACTGGGCAACCCGTGTCCGAATCCAGAAGCATAAGGCGCCCGACATCATTCTGCAAAGGTTGCATCCCTTGACGGTATCAGGATGCGACGATGATGGGTTTCCATCCAGGATTCGGCTCGCCAATGATACTTGACAGGCAAACATGGTTGTTGGTTTCACAAAAGTGGTGAACGCATAAGCGTCAATTTACTGAAATATATTTCAAGGCGGCGTTGGGCCTGACTCTCCCACTCTGAACTATGTCAAGTAACTCACCTAACAGGTTCGTGCACAAGTAGCGGACGGCCGCCGCCAAGTTGTACTGGTCGGGGAGCAGGTGCTTGTACTCATCAGCCAGACACTCGTCTATCACATTGTGTTTACACGTCAGCTGGGTCGTGAACTCGTCCAGGTTACTGAAACACGTTTGCGTACAGGTTACTGAAACATATACACTGTACATCTGTCCTGTATCAGCAGGTTACTGAAACATGTACACCTGTCCTGTATCAGCAGGTTATTGAAACATGTACACCTGTCCTGTATCAGCAGGTTACTGAAACATGTACACCTGTCCTGTATCAGCAGGTTATTGAAACATGTACACCTGTCCTGTATCAGCAGGTTACTGAAACATGTACACCTGTCCTGTATCAGCAGGTTATTGAAACATGTACACCTGTCCTGTATCAGCAGGTTACTGAAACATGTACACCTTCCCCTTGTTAGCAGGTTACTGAAACATGTACACCTGCCCTGTGCCTCTGTCTCCTGATGTAGAATATCATATCACCTGCACGTGGATCTTGTGGCGGAAACAAATAGTTCCTCGTAGTCGACGAAGCCTGTTGACCTTGATGCTGACGACGACGTCTTGAGGATGCCCACCTGAAGATTGCTCTTCCTGCAGTTGGTGATGCGGTCCGACAGCTCCGTGTGTTTACAGTGTATCAGGTTCTCCACGTCGTCACCGCCACAGATCACTGGAGGACAAGAAACACGTTCACCAGCACAGCATGTCATGTAAGCAAAGAGCGATCACTGGCTCTGTATTTAATATAAATATGGGAGATTTACATCACCAGCACAGCATGCCATGTAAATATAGGAGGTCACTGGCTCTGTAGTTGATATATATGGGGGACGACTGACTCTGTATTTAATATCTTTATATGTGAGATGTAAAACTGAGAGATTGTTCTTTGTAATGAAGCAGATGTGTAAAAGTGAAAGATTGTTCTTTGTAATGAAGGTGATGTGTAAAAAATGAAGGCAACGTGTAAAACTGAGAGATTGTTTTTTGTATAAAACTGAGAGATTGTTCTTCGTAATGAAGGCCATATTTTAACATGAGAGAATGTATGTAGTTAAGGCAACTGAGAGAATTGTTCTTTGTAATGAAGGCGATGTGTAAAACTGAGAGAATTGTTCTTTGTAATGAAGGCAATGTATAAAACTGAGATATTGTTCTTTGTAATGAAGGGGATGTGTAAAGCTGAGAGATTGTTCTTTGTAATGAAGGCCATATTTTAACATAAAAGAATGTACGTAGTTAAGGCAACTGGGAGATTGTTCTTTGTAATGAAGGCAAACAAAAAAATTGAGGGATTGTTCTTTGCAATGGAGGTGATGTGTAAAACTGAGGGATTGTTCTTTGTAATGAAGGCAACGTGTAAAACCGAGAGATTGTTCTTTGTAATGAAGGCGATGTATAAAACTGAGGAATTGTTCTTTGTAATGAAGGCGATGTATAAAACTGAGAGATTGTTCATTGTAATGAAGGCGATGTATAAAACTGAGAGATTGTTCTTTGTAATGAAGGCGATGTATAAAACTGAGGAATTGTTCTTTGTAATGAAGGCAATGTATAAAACTGAGAGATTGTTCTTTGTAATGAAGGCGATGTATAAAACTGAGGGATTGTTCTTTGTAATGAAGGCATCGTGTAAAACTGAGAGATTGTTCTTTGTAATGAAGGCAATGTATAAAACTGAGAGATTGTTCTTTGTAATGAAGGCATCGTGTAAAACTGAGAGATTGTTCTTTGTAATGAAGGCGATGTATAAAACTGAGAGATTGTTCTTTGTAATGAAGGCGATGTGTAAAACTGAGAGATTGTTCTTTGTATTGAAGGCAATGTGTAAAACTGAGAGATTTTTCTTTGTAATGAAGGTAATGTATAAAACTGAGGGATTGTTCTTTGTAATGAAGGCGATGTATAAAACTGAGGGATTGTTCTTTGTAATGAAGGCGATGTATAAAACTGAGAGATTGTTCTTTGTAATGAAGGCGATGTATAAAACTGAGAGATTGTTCTTTGTAATGAAGGCGATGTCTAAAACTGAGGGATTGTTCTTTGTAATGAAGGCGATGTGTAAAACTGAGAGATTGTTCTTTGTAATGAAGGTAACGTGTAAAACTGAGGAATTGTTCTTTGTAATGAAGGCAATGTATAAAACTGAGAGATTGTTCTTTGTAATGAAGGCGATGTATAAAACTGAGGGATTGTTCTTTGTAATGAAGGCATCGTGTAAAACTGAGAGATTGTTCTTTTTAATGAAGGCAACATGTTAAACTGAGAGATTGTTCTTTGTAATGAAGGCGATGTATAAAACTGAGGGATTGTTCTTTGTAATGAAGGCATCGTGTAAAACTGAGAGATTGTTCTTTTTAATGAAGGCAACATGTTAAACTGAGAGATTGTTCTTTGTAATGAAGGCGATGTGTAAAACTGAGAGATTGTTCTTTGTAATGAAGGTAATGTATAAAACTGAGGGATAGTTCTTTGTAATGAAGGCATCGTGTAAAACTGAGGGATAGTTCTTTGTAATGAAGGCATCGTGTAAAACTGAGGGATAGTTCTTTGTAATGAAGGCGATGTATAAAACTGAGAGATTGTTCTTTGTAATGAAGGCGATGTGTAAAACTGAGAGATTGTTCTTTGTAATGAAGGTAATGTATAAAACTGAGGGATAGTTCTTTGTAATGAAGGCAACATGTTAAACTGAGAGATTGTTCTTTGTAATGAAGGCGATGTGTAAAACTGAGAGATTGTTCTTTGTAATGAAGGCGATGTATAAAACTGAGGGATTGTTCTTTGTAATGAAGGCGATGTGTAAAACTGAGAGATTGTTCTTTGTAATGAAGGTAATGTATAAAACTGAGGGATAGTTCTTTGTAATGAAGGCAACATGTTAAACTGAGAGATTGTTCTTTGTAATGAAGGCGATGTGTAAAACTGAGAGATTGTTCTTTGTAATGAAGGCAATGTATAAAACTGAGGGATTGTTCTTTGTAATGAAGGCGATGTGTAAAACTGAGAGATTGTTCTTTGTAATGAAGGTAATGTATAAAACTGAGGGATAGTTCTTTGTAATGAAGGCGATGTGTAAAACTGAGAGATTCACATAACGTATTTGAGACAAGTGGAAATAATACCATGTGGATTCTTTTGCAATCTCTGAAAAGAACCAAGTTAAATTCTTTCAAAACATTTGTCTATCCCACATGACAAATTTTAGGAACGACATCATTCCTTGTCCCATGGGGCTTTTGTTACAAAACGTGGTAACCATGGATACAGTAACATATCTAACTTCAGCAGAGGTTCAATGCAATTTGTCAATAATGGAGGCAAATACCATCCTAAGTTTACTGAGAAAACAATATGTGAAATGCTGGGTTTCCTCATTGATAACATCTGTGTAAAACTTTAGGATACGACATTTGAGAGGAAGTAGGCATCCCCATTGGCACCAACTGTGTTCCCCTTCTTGCTGATCTGATTCTTTATGCATATGAATTGGAATTTCTGCTCGGATTGGCAAAGTCAAAACAAAATAATATGTCCTTGCTTAAGCTTCAGATATATAACTATGATCCGATATCGTTCAATAACCATCAAATAGCCTTTTTCCCTACCCTGATGTACCCACCTGAACTAGCAATAAAGGAGACCAGTGAGCCCGCCTCATTTGTTTCATATTTAGATCTTTGCATAAATATTCCCAGTGACAAAACACTCTCCACAAAACTGTATGACAAGAGGGATGACTTCAATCTCCATTTGTAAACTTTCCCTTCACGTCGAGCAACATTCCAGCAGCTCCAGCCTTGGGTGTCAACTACTTCTGAGGTACAATCGAGCAGGCTCTTTCTTCGAAGATTTTAAAGGCAGCCATACGACTCTTGTTAAAAACTTGTTTGATCAAACAGCGTTTGGATAACGACACTGATTACGATGCTATAACGGGCATATTATGGACTAACATTGATACGATAAATAAGACTTCAACTTACCTATTAAAGTAAATATTAAATACACTGATCTCTCCATCAGTGCGTCTTTGTCAGTTAACCTCGGGTAAATGTCCTCAAAGAGTTGGGCGATATATCAATCATTAACAACCGGGACACACATGATTCAAAAGCAAAATGGCGGCGGTGGTGTTACTATAACTGTCCAGATTAGCCGTGTCTGCTCCGGGTAGTGTGTTTATCTAGGCCAGTATTTTCTAGAATGGTCACGGGTTTCAGATATGGGAAGTTAATCAGTTACCGTATTCACCGTCATTGACGCGCAGATTATAACCTTTGGTAAGGTTTTCAGTGTTTTGTCTCACAAACCCCCCGATATAATGAAGAAATCCTCTGAAAATTTTGCTTTGTAACCCAGACTGTTTATTCATGTAAACAATGACGTATAAGCACGCCTGTGTGACATTATTTGGGTTCGTGATAGCCACCTGTTCGTTATATCCGAGTTCGTTATATCCGGGACTTGATGTTGAAGTTTCTTTGTAAATATGAACCATTCTATGTCTCGACAGAATCAGAACAAGGGAGATCATCAAGAATTGGGACTGTCGAATTATTCCGATAATCGCCCCTGGTGGAACAGGATACGCTCACCTTTCCGCGAACACCTAGTATCATCAGTATTTGATAGAGAATCATAAACACATGCTCATGATATAGTCGCAATCGTACAATAGACTCTGTTTTTGGCACAGATTTCCTTTGAATATGGAAAGGATTTTGTCGCTTTTATGATGTGTTTAACCTTTTCATATGAAACTTGGGCTGATTAAGCTCCACAGTAGCTTTTGATACGTCAGCTGCCACGGTGATGTCACTAACTGAAACAGTTGTAATATAAGCAGTATCTAGCACCTTCGATTATCCAGAGCGTTATATCTATGGTTTTTTTTACGATAAAGGCCCTGGGCCTATTCGCTACCATTACCACAGCATGGTTTTGGAAGTGACGTCACCATATCAATCTATATCAATAACATCCCTCAGAAGTGATTTGGTTACTATTTTCCGCGTCAATCATGAAATGATAAGGGCGGGTATTGCAGCCAGGATATTATGATGGAATGGAGAAATTGTACACTGGATAATCGAGGATGAGCGCTTAGTGGCAAAAAGAGGCGTGAACCTATATTAAATGTCCTATTACATCTTCATAGATTAGTATAGGCACAGTTAGTATTATGAAGGAAGTGGTATAGATTAATACAAAAACTTAAAATAAAAATTCCTTAATTATTTTTTTTTAAACTATTAGCTGACTGGTATGTCAAATGTTACTAATCCAAGGCAGCAGTGAAATGGACATTTAAGTCTGCGATTTTGTGGAAGAAGGATATAAAATACTGAATGTTGAAAATGTCTGTTGTATCGAACAGGTTCCTGCATCTTGTGCTTGTGATGGGAGACGACTAAATACTATGACAATCCGGTCGGCGGGCTCTGTGATTGGTTAATTGCGTATCATCGCACCCGATGGCGTGGATAGTTCCTCGCACTTTCATCCGTTGGTCTGTCCGTTTCCGGGTCCATGACGTACAGCCCTCTCTGACACCGCTGAGCCGTACACACAGATTCACTCCCTTCACATGGGCGGCCGGGTAGCCTAGTGGTTAAAGCGCTCGCTCGTCACGCCGAAGACCCGGGTTCAATTCCCGACATGAGTACAATACGTAAAGCCCATTTCTGATGTCCCCCGCCATGATATTGCTGGAATATTGCTAAAAACTGCGTAAAACCGCACTCAATCATTTCACAGATCAGGTCACATGAGATTATATAGTATATATTTTACTGCCGCTTCAGTGACTTTACCTATGTATTTGTATAACTAAGATGTCTGGGCGATGCCTATTGAGTGAGTGAGGGAGTATGGTTTTACGCCGCTTTTAGCAATATTCCAGCAATATCACGGTGGGGGACACCAGAAATGGGCTTCACACATCGTACTCATGTCGGGAATCGAATCCGGGTCTTCGGCGTGACGATCGAACGCTTTAACCACTAGGCTACCCGACCGCCCCAGGTTTTATTGAACAACCTTCAGAATTTAGTGAGGTCCTACTCAATCTGCTTTGGTTATATGAAAAAAACATACATGTTACCTTCGAAGAAGACATTGGTGACAACAACACAACTTTCACGATGAGGAAAACAACCCTGCCGTTGACCGTAAACCGTCTGATACTGTCAACAGATTGGGGGAGGTGTTGACAGACATACATTCCTGCTGGGTGTACTCACTGAAGGGGTATATGGAGACGCACAGGGCGATTTTTACCTATTAAAAATATTTATATGTCAACATGCAATTTCTAAAGAAAGAAATTATCAAAAATTAGGATATGTCTATAAAACAAACACGTATATTATCTGTAACGACTACGTTTGTGGTCTGAGATCTGAAATACAATAACCATCTTTTACTTTGACCTACGTTACATCCATTACTGTCTGTCTCTCAGATGTTGAAGTGACGTGATGCTCTGAAGTTGCCCAGATGACAGTTTACTCTGAGGATGAAGTGGTGCTCTCACTCACACCAACACGTGATATCCTTCATAACGCTTTCCATAAGTGTTGCAGATCGACGGTATCCATGCAGTGTGAATGGAAAGGCTCAACGTGTCCTCTCCCCACTGTCATACAGAACTGATGGCCTGCCGTTATTAAACAGAAAAGCGCGAGGTATTATAACGGAGAGAGTGAAAAGTGGCTTTAGTTGAGTTTGGGGCTTATTGTATTATCAATATTTTCAAGTCGTGAATTATGTACTATATAGGTCCTGCCAATGATCACGGATGTGATCATGTTTGAGACGGTGACTAGTTGTTCGCGCTAGTTCACAGATACCATATTGGAATAAAACATTCTATATTTTTATATGAGGCGATGGGGAGACTTGGTTGACTGCATGTCATCCTACATACGGTGTGGGTCGCTGCTGAAAATGGTGATGCTCTGAAGATGCCCAGGTGATAGTTTCCTGTATGGATGAAGTAGTGCCCTCACTCAAATCAACACGTGATAACTTTCATAACGATTTCTGTAAGTGTTGCTCAAAATAGGAATCACTGGTTCAGGACGATACTCGGTTATTTACAGGTCGCCGTCAATATTGCTGCCTGTTGCGTTAAACAACAAATATTGTGAAATGGCCATTCGTGAAAAATATTGCGTCGATGAACTCGTAGCTCCTTCAACGCACGCATTACATTACTATACCAGCAGTTTGACACAGCGTCACAAGGAGAGCCTGGTTGTTTAGATCTGTTTCATGGTTCCTACTAGGGCTGGGACGGGTAACTCGGGTACCCGGGTCGGGTGGGTACTGAGTAGGACCCGGGTACCCACAGGACTAACAGGACCCGTGGTTAGTCACGTGATATATTGTTTAATGACAAAACATATCTAGAACTCTATGGTTACACTACAAGTAACAAATGTTCGCATTTCTTTCTGACTATGCACCCATTTCTTCTGACTTTTCATATCTTTGAATAAAGATAAAACATGAGTCAACTTCAGTGTATGCATGACCAGATTGTTTAATACATTATCTAAATACGTTTTGCCAGTGCTATGGTAAAAAAAAATATGCCCAATCGGACATTTTGTACCTATCTCTTGAGACCTACAGTGGGTACCCGGGTAGGGTCGGGTAATAGGGGGGTGGGTCCTCGGGTAGTAAATTCGGACTCGTCCCAGCCCTAGTTCCTGCACAGCTCATCCAAGAACTCATCTGCACAGCTCATCAGAAGAACGAGGGATACAACTAGAGACGGTTTAACGACAGAGAGCTGGACCCCCGTAAAAGACCCAAATGACAGGTAGCCTGCAGCCTGTTGGTGCATTGAACTAACAACACCAGGTATTTTCAGTCACATTGGCACATGGTAGGACAATACATTGCTGCACTGAAAATAATGTTTGATTTAATTCCAGCATACATCTTGACCAATATTATAAAAATCACATCTTTTACTCACATTCCATCCCTCTCTCCATTATTTGTATGGGATCGGAATAAGAAAACTTATTTTAATGAACTTGACAATTAAGTCATAGTTCATTTTCGCATGCATGATTGCCTCGTGTATTATGTCTCCGTGTTATTATCATCAATGTATTTACCATGATAGGACGGAGATATGAGTGATACACAGGTTTATCATTTAACTTGAGCATTTATCCATGACATAAGCTTATGACATAAAAACATGTATGTCATACCCCAATGACATAAGTATGCAAATTAGATATGCAAATTAGATAACCGGAAGAGCGAGCAGTTTGATTTGAAACTATATATTATAAGTGAAGTTACACCAGAGATATAATCAGATTACACAGAATCGTTGTTGTTACCGTTATTAAAGTTTCAATTATTCTGCAAAAGTCTGTTCAAGTATTTTGTTTAAAATAATCCGAGGAACTTTTTTTCTCAGCGAATTGTTTATTTTGGTTTACATGGCTATGGAAAACATGTATCACAACGCACGATCTATACGTAAGATTTCGACAAGTTTCTGATGTTCATGTTTAATGCAATTATTCCTTAATTTGGAAGCAAAAATGTGAAAATGATAAATAGAATTCATCACTCGTGTTTTTTTAATATGGGAAATATCAACCTCGTCCCGTTAATCGGTATTTGCCTCGCCAAAGGCTCGGCAAATACCGATTAACTAAGACTCGGTTGATATTTCCCATATTAAAAAACACTCGTGATGAATCCTCTATATATCTACGATGTGGTTCAGGACATATTCACTTTGGCATGCGCACGCACCACCTGGATTTAGTGACGTGACAGACGATGTGATAATTGTTGGTACAATTCTTGTCCATCTGTTAACGTGTAGCGAATGGGGAATTTGTCTATGAGTTCTTTCTTATTGCCATCACTAGTGTGTACGATCCATATTTCAGTTAATCCGATTTTACTGCCAACTCATCTCCCATCCCAATACGTATTTATTGAATGTGAAATAAAACGCGTCAAAGCCTATAGGTGAAAGCTACCCCCTGGGGAGGATGCGTCACAGCCAGTCAGCGCCCCCTTCTTCCTCCTGTTCATTGTCCACTTTATGATGTCCTCGCATAATGAAGCAGGTAAAAGAACGCCTACCCTGCGGGGGGTCAGACATCCGTGACACCTGTCTATCATTATGACGTAATGG